TTTTTTTTTTTCTTCCGGACCGGGTGCTTTTAATCTGTGTGAAAGCGGCCGGTGTCGAGGAGGAGTCAACGCGCCCGCTTGGTTTTGACTCGCGTGCGTGTGCGGGCGAGCGGCTTGGGAGGACTGGGGGTCTGGGGGTCTGGAGCAGGGAGCCGGCTGTCCCCCCCCCCAGCTTTCTGGTCTTCGGCCTCTCCCTTGAAATGCGAGCCCTTCCCGGCGCGGTGGCCCCCCGCCTTTCTGTTGCTTCGGGCAAAAAGTAGGTTTTATGGCAGCGTTTGGCAAAACCTACGATGAATGGGGAGCGGTGGCGATGCTTTTTGCTGTTGCTTGTTTTGTTTCTGTGTACGTTCTTCGTAGTCCCTGCTTTTCAACAGCTTTTTTGTAAACTGCAAGCTGCAGCAAGCTTTAGGACTCGTTGAAAATAAAAGTGGAGCTGCCTGTCTTGAAAAGAGTAAGGAAATGCAAGTGTAAATGGTTAAAAACAACTTGCGGGTCTGGAAACAAATCTGTCTCCGTGAGACCGCCCTGTTTGCAAGCGGGTCGGTTCCACGATCCTGCTCGTGATGTGGGCTCAGGAAAGCCGGTGCAAGAGTGAGGGCAGGAATGAGACGTTTGAGAAGGAGCTCTACCGGCCTTGATAGCTGCACGGTTTTGTGTAAGATTAAAATGGTATCTTGGCGTACGTATGGTCACACGCTTCCGTGGGCTCTCATTCGTAGCATTTGAATACTTCTCAGTTGTATCACTTTCAGATCTTATTAATTATTTTTGTCAGTCTTTTCTTTCACATATTAGTCTTTCTGCAGCTTCATACTTCACTCTGATTTTTTTGTGTGTGTGTGTGTGCGTCCACCAACACATTTTTTCATGCTTGCATCCAAGACTTAAAACAAGTCTGTGGTTGTACTCTTTAACCTTGAGCGGCTTCAGCTTTTTATGTCTCATTGCTGGTATTTTCTAGTATAGGAGAAATACCTCCTGCCCAAACAGAGAGCTGATTTTTCCAAAGACATCCTCTAAAATCTGCCTTTTCATAGCAACAGAAGATGCTGTTTGGTGAAGACTTAGTCCCAACCTAGCTGCTGGGCTCCACAGGTGGTCTTCACTAAGCCACAACTCCTAGTAGATACGGTTTGATGATTGCTTTAAGCTGGCTGGTCAGTGCCGTCAGCTGATGGCTTGTATTTGTCCTCTCCCGTGCACCAGCACTGAGGTCTGTATGGTTATTGGGGGAGCCCTTTCTAGGAAGTAGCGCAGCTGAAATAATGTTTGCTTATATGTGTTTGCTAGGCAGGTTCTCAGACAGGGTGGTTCCTTTGTGCGCATCGCTGCAGCCGCGTGAATGCTTGTGTCATCCTGAGGGACACGGTAGGAGGTGGAAGGTGACGGGGAGGACGGGGGTGTCTCCCTTCAGCGACAGCACAGACTTGCATTGGATCTGAATAGCTGCACTGTGGTAGCTCTACAGTGCAGCGAACACGGCAAGTTATTCTCTTCAGGGCTAGCTTAGCCAAAGTTTTCCTGAGAAGACGGACTCTTGAGTTCATGCTTCCCAAACTGTTTTTCCTCTATGCTTTTCCAAATAATGTGTATCGTCTTTTGTCAGGTTGTACTAGCTGGGTTCTGCTCTTCTTCGTAATACTGTTTCTGGAAGTTCACGTCCCTGCTGCTGAGCATGTGCTGTGGCTTCTGCCTTTTTGCTACCTCCTGTCCTTCCCTGGGAGAGACGTGCCTCACGTTTGGGAAACACCGTACCGTGAAGAGATAGAAACGTGTGGGCAAGGTAGAGAAGATAAGGGAAAAGAGAGTAAAGTGATCGAATTGTGTATTGACACTGGTTTTTTGACTGCATGTATTACCCTGCCTGCCTTCAGCAAGATTGCAGTGTATGTGAACGGCAGGCAGATCAGTTTTAGTATTCAGTTCTTGTTACAGTCAGGGTGTTTTTGCGTTTCAGATTCAGGCAGTGAAACAGAATCATAGATTTGGATTAATCAAATGTTGCACAGCTCTAAAACTGTGAGTTACTCTTTTGTTTTTATTACAATTGTGGTTTCAGTTAGCCTCTTTCAGCATGATGTGTGAAGTTTATTTCACTTGTAGCTGCAAGAAGTGAATTTTTTACTCCAGTGGATAGATAAGATTTGAGGATTTGTCTGCCTGGGGGAGCTATTATAGAAAAAGGCGGTTTGTGGGTTTACAAGTATAGCTCATTAGTCGCTCATATAAATGCTTACTCTGGAATAAGCTGTTGGCAGCTAGCAGTGATTGTTCTGGTCGCTTTACCAAACTCTCGTTTTTTTGTGTCTCTGATGTGATCTGTTCTGAGGAGCTGGGTAACCCTCAGTTTAGAGGGCTTTCAGGGACGCTGTGTCATGATCGCGTCTGCCAGGAAAAAGTGGTTGGCAAGGGTACTGGGGGGAATTGGAGAACGATGTGTCTCTACCGGCTACACCTATTGAGCGTATGACTGTTGACATGGCATTCGCCTTCTCCCAGCTGGGGCTGTGGATCTTCAGAGAACATCTGAAGGTGTGTGCACATATCCTACCTGTTGTCTTCAACTCACGCCAGTTGATTTGCTTTATCCCCTTTTCACCAAAGCGGGGAGCTCGCAAAGATGAACAGTTTGGTCTTTTGCTTGTAGTCAGTGTCACAACCGGCTGTATGGCCCAAGCCTTTCATTCACCAAATCGCCCTTTCCTTCATTACGTCCAGGGTTGACTTACGTGGATGAACATCCATTCCAGCAGTAAAGTTAGACCGTGGAGACAGCAGCTCCATCGGTCATCTGTCACAATTTATGACCATGCTGGCAAGATAGCCTCGGCGCTCGGTAATAGCAAAGAGCCCACGAGGTGAAGTTTAGTTGTGATGTTTTGAAGCAGTGTTCTGATCAAAAGGCTGCGAATAGAGTTTTGACAATATAAAGCAGATTCTTTTACAGCCTTGTCTTTACTGTAAATGAGTAGTTTACATTTTTGTCTTACAAGCTTGTCCAGCTGTTTCTGGATAATGCTTTAAGATCTGTCTATTTAAAAGCAGTCACAATTTAAACAGCAAATATATCTACAATCTGTAACAATTAAGAACAGTTTTCTCTAAGAGCAGAAGACTTACCTTTTTCATCGCATTTGTAAACATTTAGATTAATCTTTATTTAATCAAAACTGCTCTAGTGTTTAGGTAAAATAAAGGCTTATATAGTGTTGGTTTTACTGAGTTTGTGATTGTATGTCCTTTTGTTTTTTTAATAACTGAGCTTGTAATAGCAAATGTTCTTTATTAAAAGAAAAGGAAAACTATGACATATAAAATAACTGAAGTATCAGATCCTGATGTCCTCATCCATGTTGCTTTGTTCCAACTTAAGAGCACGTTGCAATTACAGTAAGGACAGCACATGGATAAATCATATTCATTACAATTTTTTATATTCAAATCTGGTCATAAATTTGGGAGCGGACTAGGACAGTAGTGGGAAGCTGTAGTTTGTCTTACTGTAGATGAATTTAAACTACTTTCACGATGTAATCAGCTCTATGTGTATTTTAGGATTGCTTATAAATCTCTCTAATCAGAAATTTTGTATCTCCCGGTAGCTTGTCTCTTTGAAATATTAAAAAGTTGATCCTTGTTCTCTTACCTTGCTAGATTATTTCTTTTTCTTAAATCTGATTAATCTTCTTCTTAAGCTGAGCAGGAAGAATAAGAGGAAGATCTTGAAGATAATATAAAATCCAGGAGAGAATATTCTTAATCAAATTCATACGGATTAATAAAGCTGCAACTAAAGTATCATATTTGAAGATCTATTTTCAATGGTTTCAAAAGAGGCTGTAGATTAAAAGTGAACAGTTTAGTTATATCACAAGAGATATCACTCCCAGATACTTAAACCTTTTACAAGGCTGTTACATTAAAAATCTGATAGGTTTATGAGGATGTAATGGTAAAGTTGCTGACATAGCAGTATGCAGATGAAAACTGAATGGCTTTCGAAGCCATCTGAAAGAGATCATGCTTATTTTGCTTTACCTTCAAGACTGAAAATAAGATCTGTGATGGGGGCAGTTTTATTTTCCATATCACACAGTTGTAAGCCTTTGATATCTTCTGAGTCACAGTTAGCTCTGGCAAGAGGTTTGATGAAAGATCAAGTAGAACACAAGGCAAGCTTCTCGTCCCGTTATCTGATGTAAACCGGAATGAATACTCTTCTTTTAAAATTGTCGGTCTTGGTTGCCCAGAGTAACTTTATTAGAACTGCAAGCTACAGTCCAGTGTTTGCACCTGACAATTATTTTCTGCTAAAACCATGTGATTTTTGTGTGTGTGTGTGTTCTAGAAAGTTCAGTAAAGGAAGCAAACGGTCAGGATTTCATCTGTCAGGATTTGACTGTTTTGGATGAATAGTATAGGAAAGATGTGAATTAGCAGAAATTTCACCTGTTTTGAAGAAGTGAAATAGAGGGACTTAGCGTTCAGTTATTTAAAAATGACTTCACAAAATTGCCCTGAAAGAATTCCATACACCTATAACTGTGAAAAATACTGAATAAAGACTTATTTTGCTTTAGAGGTTTTAATTTTTGCCGTTTAAGACTCGGGTAAGTTCAGCTAGTTCTGCTGGTACTCTAAGCAGGAAAATTGTATGAAAGTCGATGGTACAATCTCTAAGTTTTTCCTTTTAAATCTGATTGATTGAGCTCTGTATGAGAGATGTGGGGAAACTCGTTAAAAGAGGAGCAAGCAGCAAGTCTGCAAATACAAGCTCAGAGGAAGTGCTTGATGCTTGTTAATCAGCTACTGATAAGTTTCACGTGAACTGGAGGACCAGTAGTACCACATTTTTCCCTCCTCTCTCACGTAATCCTGTGATCATAGCCTTTACGTAATAACATGACATGCACTTTTTTCCTTTGCTTTATGCCAAGTTATTCAAGAGTACTCTTCATTCCAACTTTGTGATATGTTAAAACCCTTTCCAGTTGTAATAGCTCTGAAAATACATTTGACTTTTTCATGATCAGCTCACGTCTCTTCCATCGCTGATGTTGTTGGTGTTTAATTCAGTGGTTTATATGTTAAAAAAGAGCGTATGGTGAGGAAACAAAATCGAACATGGTTGCTAATCCACTTTGTAGAGGAGCCACTCTTTGAAACACTCACCAGTGTTTCAAAACTGCTTGCTTTGACAGCTTGAGAGAAGGGGATGAGGGTTTTTTTTTTTACGTAAGTATTATGATACCAAGTCTGATCTCTGCTCTGGGGCTGATTATCGAGACTGTTCTCTTCACCTAGATAGTTACTTGTCATTGACATGACAGCATACGCAAAATAACGTGGCATTATTTATCACTTCCAGTTCAGCTGAGATTTGTTTTCTTTGTACTTCTGGGTTTACCTTGTATAGCTTGTTGTAAGTGTTCGAGAATGTCGAAAGAAATACAGGAACATAGGTGGCTATAGGCGGTTAAGTTGACTATAATTTAGCATCGAGTTTACCATCTGCACTGTGGCCTGGGTTTCATGGTCATTAGGCATCAGGCTGGCAGTAGAAAAAGCACTGACATAGAGGGAGTGAAGCATTAAAGTCAAGAGTTTTACTTATTTGCAGAAGTGGAAGGTAAGGACTGGATTTTATTTAGCATCTCAGATATACCCACAGACAAACTCAGAGGCAGGAGCTGAAGAGTTCAGGAGTTTGAGCATCTCAGTGCATTTGATAGTCAGCAAGAAAACTAATACATATATACCCAAACTGGAGATTTGGCTGGCGGGATCTGAAAGGATCTCCTCTCTTTGTGTAGAGGAATCTGGGAAAAGTCCTCTTTCCAGTTAAATCTCGTTGTCCTTTGCTCACCAGGATGTGCTCATATACTTTGGGAAGCTTGTCATGTCATCAGCTGGGCTCCAATATATGTCGTCAGCCATAGGTGAATCACTCTTACTGCCTCCCTCCCCCAGTTGTGTGTGTGACTTAAATAACGTATCGCCGTGAGAAAGGGCAGAGGTGCAAGTTTGTTTGGATGTGTCAGTCTGGGGAACTAAGTGCTTAAAGTAGAAAGGTTTTGATGCTTCTTGGTTATGTTAAAGTTATAGCATCATATTATAAACTTTGAAGTCCCTTTGCTAAATTTTGAGAGCATCAGTATGGTCCTGGCAGTAGAAGGGATTGCTTTCTTGAATAATACGAGGTATGGAAAGTTCTTGTTTATAATACATGCTGATCAACAGAAATGAACCAACTCTGCTGTAACTCATCATAATATCTTCTAGTTGTGCTAGTTTATAAACATCTTTTAAAAAAAAAAAGCACTCTCTTAATAGTGTAAGCATGCATCTTCAGGTAATTATGTGGGTAGCTTGTTGCTATCTTTTTTTCTACCGCCCTTGAAGAAAATAAACTTTTATGAGTCTGTACATTAATACCTCTGTTGGTTATTTGTGATACTTCTCTAATCAAGTACTGAAATACTTGTTTTGACTGCGTTCACAGGCTAAAGAGTGCAATGGCGTCAAGGCTCCAATTGATACAAGCAAACCTAACCCTAATGAGGTGGAGTTTGATAACCTGTATTTGGATATGAATGGTATAATTCACCCTTGTACACATCCAGAGGACAAGTAAGGCAATTTTTTGTCTCTTTACAAATAGGATTTATTGATAGCATTTCAGATGTTAAATTGAATGCTCTATGTTTTAGGCCAGCACCCAAAAATGAAGATGAAATGATGGTTGCGATTTTTGAGTATATTGACAGGATCTTCAACATTGTAAGACCAAGGCGACTTCTTTACATGGCTATAGACGGAGTAGTAAGTATCGATATATTTAGTTACTGCTAATGGCTGTTTGTAAAATTAGGGTGGGTGCCATCCACTCTCATAAGATCCTTTGGGAAATAGTTTTCTAAAATGAAAAACTACGGGGCAAATATACTGTTAATTTAATTTTGGTGAGGGTAATTAAAAGTATTCATGGGTTTTGTTGTCCACAGGCTTATATGAGCTGGCTAATGTAGTCTACTGCAGTCTGAACTTTGCTTCTGAAAAGCAGGAAACTTCCCTAAGACAGTAACACCCTGAAACTACTTATGTTCCTCCGTTCTGTGGCTTTAGTACTAATTTATGCTGCAGGCTGGGAAAGACCAGAAAACCGTTTAAGCAGATGCACTTAAAATGGGCAGTGACTGAATTGTGCTGTGGAATATTTCACGGGCTAGCCTTAAGGCACATTTGAAGCTGAAAGCTTGTCTTTCTCCATACCTGATCCTCATCTCTGCTCAGTACATCAGTTGGTCTAATGAAAGATACCACCTTTTCTTAATAACTTTGCTTTACTGAGTATTTTTCTATCCAAATTGCATAGTCTCACTGAGAGATGCCAAAATGGCCTGGCAGACTGCTGGTAGGCTTCTTAAGCTTTGGCTGTTTTTCTAGGCTTTTCAGTTTCTCAAAGGTACAGTGAGTATCATTAAGTAAAAAGATTTTTAACCTGAATACAAGTTCAGGAATTCCTAATGTATGTGTGTATATAGAAGTAATCCCAACTAAATGTTGATGTAGCCTTTTAAAAACCCCAACATACCTGCTAACTGTAATAGCTAACTACTGTCTGCCGTAGTCTTTTTATTTTCAAGAGTTATGAATACAATTGTAGGAGTTTCTTGTTGGAGAAAGGGTATGCAATAAATAACGGTTTCAGATACGTGTCGCTGTGAGTTTCATTCATTGTGCGAGGGAAACTTGGAATCCTTGAGCATTGTGCATGTCTGAGATGGGGGTACAGCTGTGCATGCTGCTGGCTTACCTCATGGAGAAGCTTAAGAGACCTATTCAGAAACGGGTTCAGCTCCCTGTGCTGCCATATGAGAGCTAATGGTGACGCGAGGGAGGGACAACAGAAATCCTTGTTTCAGTTAGTGTAGACTGATGTCTCGTTAAATGGTTGTATAATCACAGACTGGCCAATTTCAGAAGACTTGCCCAGGAAGGAAACAATTGTCCAGATGCAATAACTGAACCAAGCGTTATGATACTTTTTTAGGCTCCACGTGCAAAAATGAATCAACAGCGGTCAAGAAGATTCAGAGCATCAAAGGAGGGCATGGAAGCTGCTGAAGAGAAGCAAAAAATAAGACAAGAAATTCTGGCAAAAGGTAGAACTGTGGCCATATCTGAGGTTTTTCAAGTGAGAGTCACCTTGTTTGTTTTGAGTGCTTCAGTAAGGGTTAGAAAAGGGATGTCTTGTTCAGTGGGTATTTGTCTGTGCATTACTAGGAGAAAGAGGGAATAGCAAGCCTGCAGAAGGATGGATCTGTGTTTTCCAAAGTTAAGAACTAAGATAAAACAAAATGTCACTTTTTTCTTCTTCTGTCTCCTGCCTGAAATGGATTTGTGTTGAGTACTCTTAATTCCTTTAGAAAAAAAATTGAACAGAAGAGCAGGGATAAATGTAGTAGTGGGAAACTAACCAAAACCCTTATGGAAGGAAGTACAAATCTGTAGGACTTGATGAAAGGAGAGCTGAGGCTTAAAAGCGGGGATCAAATGAAAACACTGCTGCACAGGAATAATGAACTGCGAGCAAGGGTAGTTACTTGACAGTGGAAACTCTAAACTCGGTGAGGAAACAGTGTCAGTGCAACTTTCTAAGAGTGACAGTGACATGACTCGAGTGAAAGGAGTGTGTGTAGCTGAAGCATGCTGTCTGGGCTGGAGCAATTAATTCAGGTGACTGTGTAGGAGGAATGAATGCTGTAGCCCAAGTGAGAGGGCCAAGTGTAACCTAGGTAGAGATTAAAAAGGGAGGACAAAGACTTTTTTAACGTTTCTTCCTGTAGCATTTCTAGACTATGAAGACCCTTTTATGAAGCTCAGAGATGAGAGAAGTTGGTGTAACCCTGTTTGTGAGCCCAAGTGAATAGATAGTGGAAACATAGGGGAAAATATGTAAGAAAATAATTATTTCCTAATGTTTTATCTCATTTAGCAAGCTTAGTTTCTTTGAGATTTCTTTCACAGTCTTTTGACAGAATAGGTAGTGAAATAATTTTTCTGAAGTAACAACAATGTTTGTAAATGTACTAATACCTTATTTTAAGATGGAGATAATATAATGGTAAGAGCTGTTTTAGTTTTGTTGTTGTTTGTTTTTTTTAAACAAACTAACTTTCAATAAGTGTTAATCGTTATCAGGGAGCCATCTGGGTTTTTATCATGCAAAAATGTTTTTAATGTTCCATATCGATTTACCTCTGTTAAATGTTTTTATTGCTCTAGGTGGCCTTCTTCCTCCAGAAGAAGTGAAAGAGAGATTTGACAGCAACTGTATTACCCCGGTAAGTATTCTTGCACTTTAACCAGCAATTGCCAGTGTCTGAATGAAGGTTTAATTTATTTTCTTCCGTCACTTTTTAGGGAACTGAGTTTATGGACAATCTTGCTAAATGTCTCCGCTATTACATTGCTGACCGTTTGAACAGTGACCCAGGGTGGAAAAATTTGACAGTAAGTTTCACGGTTTCATACTTCAGGAAAATTAAGGTGATCTATTAGGCTGGGTTGGGATATGATTGAAGAGTATGAATTTAACAGATCGTCTCATCTGCTGACACTGTGCTGTTATTAATAATGGACCAACTTGCACATTCTGCTGGGACTTCAGAGATACGTTTCATCCTAATAACACAATCTAACAGCACCATTTGTTTTAATTTCACTTAAGAGCAATGAAAAGATTGAAAAGAATGAAAAGAAGCCACAATTTGATACAACGGGAGACAGGGTTTTAGGAATACTTTTCCTTCTTTTGGGGAAAACTGTCAAGATACATTTTATATGTATTCTTCTCACTACTTCTTTTTTAACTTGTTTGCTACCTCAGCTAGGCTGCATTTTCTCCGTTATTCTAATGATGGATGACAATAGATGACAGGCAACGAAAATAATACATATCAGCTTCTTGCTTTTCTGGACTTTGAAATTCTCTCCTCCTGTTCCTCAACCACTCCACCCCCACTGAGTTTTGTTTCTGACAGCCCTGTGTTTGCTCTGTGCAAGAGGGCAGAACAGTCAGTCTTCTCAGATGCAGCTGTTGGTTTTATTTTCCATAAGTTGACTGTTAAAGTGGTCTAATTAGAGGGCAGTCGACCCTGCTTAATTCCCTCCATCAGACATGAGTTTTATAAACGCTAATGCTCATCTGGACATCAGTGTAAGGAAGTGTATAATGTGATAATGTATCAGTGTATCTACGAGTTTAGAAGATCTAAAGGGAAGCGGGCATATGTCTGCTTTGTCTGTTAGTTCTCTAGTGTGTATTTCGATTGCCCTGATAATTTATCAGGGAACTTCAAATACGTTAGTTAATGACGGGATAATTTCAGTGGTATTTGAATGAATGTGTCAGCTTCATCCTAGAATTAGTAGAGAAAAATGAAGGTCTATTCGTTGGTTCCAAACTCTTAAATAATTTCATTTTGAATCATAATATTTTAGTTGAAACTACAAATTAGGATTTCAGATATTCATAAGTCAAATTCAGTATTCAGTATATGAACTACGTAAGTTGTTTGTTTTTTTTTTTTTACTTTGACGGCATAAATTGTTTACGTAATTTAAATGTGTCGCAGGTTATTTTGTCTGATGCTAGTGCTCCTGGTGAAGGTGAACATAAAATCATGGATTACATTAGAAGACAAAGAGGTAAAATTCAAATAAATGTGAACATTTTGTTTTAAATTACGGTATGGTCAGTAATGATTTATTTACGTGACTTTGGTTGACTAAATGCAATTTTCTTTTGTGTAGCTCAACCAAACCATGACCCAAACACTCATCATTGTCTGTGTGGGGCTGATGGTGAGTTCTCTTTTGCTAGCAATATGTCCTATTAAGCTTTCTTGTGCTGTTTTGTGATTGAGTTGGGCTGTAGTTTTTGGGCTTTCACTTGTATTTGTGTAAATAATCCAGTGTATTTGTTAGTTCTTGAAAGCTCTGTGTAATATGTGGGGAAGGATCTAGCACTGTCCATAGCTGAAGGGCTAGCTTTCACCTAGTTGTACTATCTGGGTATTTCGGGGGTAAGCACGTCTGTGTGTTCACCCTTGCGTAGGGGTACAATGTACTTTGCTTTTAAACTTTTTTTTAAAAAAGCTTAATAATGTTTATCCTTCATTATATTTTATTCTTCTCTTTTGATTGGTAGCTGATCTGATTATGCTTGGGTTAGCTACACATGAACCAAACTTCACTATAATTAGGGAAGAGTTTAAACCAAATAAACCCAAGCCATGTGGTCTTTGTAACCAGATGGGTCATGAGGTTAAGGATTGCCAAGGTTTGCCCAGAGAAAAACAAGGCAAGGTAAGAATTTTGCTATTTCTAGAATTTTTTTTTATCTATAAGCTAATTTATGTTTTAATGAGATCCCCAAACTGTTCTTGCTGTTGGTTTTGGCTGAAACATAATGCAAATTATGTTACTGGAATTACCTAGCTTTCCTCTTATATTGATAAGTAAAAATTGTACTTCTGTAGCACAAAAATATTATGCCAAACCTAATATCCTCACTTGTGGTTTTTTGTTGTTTGGTTTTGTTTGGTTTTTTTTAACTGGCGAGAGAAAATGATCAGTAACTTAACAGACTTGCAAAGCAGCAAAATGCACGCTTGGCATAAGAACTTGAGAAACTGTGCTTGTATACCAATTAACTCCTCCCGAAGTAAGCCTTTAAAAACTGAGTTGGAGAAACTTTCAGGTGAGCTTGGATGTAATGCAGCTCTTTCCTTTTATTTTAGCACGATCAGTTTGCAGACAGTCTTCCTATCGCTGAACAAGAATTTATCTTCATCCGATTATGTGTTTTGCGAGAGGTATGTTGAAGCAGTTACTATATCTGCTTTATATAAATAATATTTTTAAACTCTATACACAGTGTTTTCTAATGTCCTTTTTCTTTTGTGTGTGTGTTGCAGTATTTGGAAAGAGAACTCACTATGGCCAGTTTGCCTTTCACTTTTGATTTTGAAAGAAGTGTTGATGACTGGGTCTTTATGTGCTTCTTTGTGGGAAATGACTTTCTTCCTCATCTACCATCTTTGGAGATCAGGTAGATGAGAATATATGTTTTCTTTTCCTGCAAGTATATCTACTGTGGCTTTAAATAGTAAGAATCTCATGCTTTTGTTTGTTTGTTTGTTTTTTAGGGAGGGAGCAATTGATCGCTTGGTTAATATATATAAAAATGTGGTGCACAAAACTGGGGTAAATTTTTTTGCTTTTTCTTTGAAAATATCTGGGTGTAAGCTACAAAAATAGGCTTGTTTTTCAAATATATTATTTTCTAATTTGCAGGGGTACCTCACAGAAAGTGGTTTTGTCAACCTACAGCGAGTCCAGATGATCATGTTAGCTGTTGGAGAAGTTGAAGATAGTATTTTCAAAAAGAGAAAAGACGACGATGTAATTTTTTTGTTACATTCTTGGAGTTTGGTTTTAGTCACTTGCGTTACTGTTAGACTGTGACGCTTCTTTAGTAGAATAAGAAAAAAAAAGAACTTTGTATTTTTTTTATAATCTCTGGTGAATTCCTCTGTATTCGAAAAGGAATTGAGTGCTTCCAGTTGATTTTCTTTTCCTGCACTGCAAGGCCTGCTTTTCTGATTGTTATCCCAAGTCACAGCAAAATGAAAACTATGTGAATTCTGTTACTGCCTGCAGCTTTTTGAATAGCCGTTATGACATCTGAAGAAGGAATTGTTTTGTAATTTGCTGCGACCTGTGGAAGTGCAAGCCATGAGCAGAGGTGGCATACTAAGTATGAATTCAAAGTGTGTTCTTGCCTGGCAGTGCCTCCTGCCATTGGAAATGTGTCCAGAGATTGTTGTTGTTTTAGTCTCTCTCTGCAGTTTGTCTGTGCGGTTTTTTGCAGACATATTCCAGTTTATTCATTAAGTGCAGGGGATAAAACACCTTGTGAATGAAAGAAGAGAATTGTATTCACTATCCAGTCAAAAAAATACTGTGCCAGCGCTGGCAAAACATTTTTTTTCCCCCCCATAGGTTTTCAGGGTAGTGTAGAAATTTCTATCCCATTTCTGTTGGATTTACAGACACAAGAATTAACCTATGTCTTATTCAGAACATTATGTAAAAACCTTATGGCCTTCTGGTCAGTAGAGGATTATAATGAAATATTTTTCCAAGAAATCTGTATGCTTGACTGACTTTATTTCTCTTTATTCTCTATTTAGGATAACTTTAAAAGACGGCAAAAAGAAAAAAGAAAAAGAATGAAGGTAAATTCATTCCTTTCACAATGCAAAAACTAGCAAGAATTAAAACGTATACTATAGCTTTCAGCAGATGTGTTGGTTGAAGCTGCAGTCATAATCATGGCATTTTCTGGCCCACGTGTAAACTATTTTAAAGAGGTTTTTTTCATGGCTTTTTGTAGACTGGAGCTTTGAAAGAAGGAATTTTGTGTATTAAAGGCTTCGTAAAAGGGGAAGGAGGGAGAGAGTTGAATGCGCTGGATGATAGCTGTGTGTTGTGTCCTTCAGATCTACACAAATCTGCACTTTCGTGATTATTTAGTGATGTTTCAGCATGGTCACTGTACAGGAATTGCTTTTCCATGCTTTGACGCAAGTCTTCTCGGCAATTGTATTACTGAGGGCAATGGAGTTTAGCATAAGAGTTTAGGTTTAAATCCATTTAATGCAAACTGATACGTGTATTTGCTTGATTGGAGGCTTGTTTCTAAAAGAGCAAAGAAGGCTTACCCCAAACTGTAGTTATCACACATTCTGCCTGCAAGCAAGTCAGTGTTGCGGAGTATCCCTCAAATGTAATAGAGAAGCATTATCTGTTGTGGGAACGTGTTTGCCCTTTCTGACCCCTGTAAGCTGAATTCTTTAAAATTGTTGTTGGAAGGATGCTGATTTTTCTTCTGTTCACAAAATGTTCTGATATTTTAAAAATGGGCTCTTGTATGTTCATTTCAAGATAGCTTTGTTCTTGGTTAGGACATTCAGGTAAGTGTAGCTTCCAAAACTTTCAAGGCATATGATATCCCTGAGTACTGTCTAGGTCTTTTGGGTTTTTTTTAAATTACATATTTTCTGACTATCCCTATTAGAGTGGAAGAGGTTATTCACTTTGCTTACAAAGAGTAAGTTCTTCCCAGTAAGTTAGATGAAGTCTCACTTCCCAAAAAACCTGCCTTTCAGCCCACGTAGAAAGAACATAGGCACAAAATGCAGGGTTTGTTTGGGGTTTTTTTGAAGGAGCTTAATAAATTATAGGAATATAAGGGTCTCACTTATAAGTGTCATCTTATGTCTGGTTGAGATGGTTAAACAGAACTAATTTAAGCTGAACTGAGTGAATGAGTAAATTATGCTTGGTTTATATAACATGTTAATCTGAAAATTGTGAGAGCGCGTCATCACACTGCTGTGGAGATTACACAGCTTTTTCAGTATACGTGTATATATTTATCTTTTAGAGGGATCAGCCTTCTTTTATTCCCGGTGGACAGTTTTCCCCTCAAGCTCTGGGAAATCGATCTAGTCCTCAGGCAATCAGTAACCCTAGACAAGCCGCCTTTGAGATGAGAATGCATGACAGACAGAACTCTGTAAGTAGATGTTCAAAGGTATTTACACATAGAAGGGGAAATAATCGCATCCTGTCTTACTCTGGACACCTTTTTCTCTATCCTGTCAAGCTTTCTTGAAAAGCAGACCAAAAAATATTTACTTTTCAAGGAAGTGGCTTTTAATAACCAATTTTTGTGAGACTACTTGAATAAAATAGTGTTCTTTATTTTAATGTTTGGTATGATACTACTTGTTAAATAGTTCTGGGAGAGCAAGTGTGAGGTGAATGCATCTGAGTCAAATACGGTGGCTCTTCTCAAACCTGTTTGGCATTTGTTGAGTCGAACCTCCTGTGAGTACAGGTTTAGGAACTTACTCAGTAGGTTTGAGAGAGACATGAACTGAATCCCTGAGCTGGACATCTTTTCATATTCTTTTTGGATATTTGTGACATCTCTCCGCTTTGTAGACCCGTGTTGTGGTTTAATTTCAGTCGGCAACTAAGCACCACACAGCCGCTCGCTCACTCCCCCCCACCCGGTGGGTTATTAATTTTCTGTGAGGACTTCCTATCTCGCAGTACCATTGAGAACTGCTAAAATAACCTGAGAATTGTTGAGGCATAGCTTGATTATGCTGAAACTGTGCTTCTAGGTCCAGGCTTCTGTGCTTGAGAGGGTGTATGTGAAATACACATGAAGTGCGTGCATTTTGTTTACTTGTTTTTCTGATCTCTGTATATATAAAGAGTTAGTTCTAAGCAGTAAGCTGAAAGGCCAGTATATATAAAAAATAATGCAAGCTGCCATTAATGAGTGTGTCTGCAAAATAAGACACCATTCCCACGCACACTGCTTTTCCCCCAAGCCTTATGTCTCTTACATTTCAGTCAGTTCTCACAAAAAAAAAATACACAGATATATAGATAGATATACACACACACAGACAGATGTATATACGCGCACACACAGATTTAGATACCTGTATTTTGGAAACTTGTGATTTGCATATCTATGTGTTCGTCAAACTGCTTTCCAAAGCATTGCCTTTCACTGGGAAGAGGAGAAACTTAGATGAAATTTTTGGAAAGGTATTAGAATGTGACGGAAAACTGGAAATAAGTTAAGTGCTCTCTTACAAGTCTTGATTGTTAACTTTAAGTATTATGACGAATACTTTCTTCCTGGGCATAAATCTTCATCCAAACAGTGAACAAATTTTTAAGTAAAGGTTCTTTTCATCATAAAGACGTTTTTTGTCTTTTAAGTCTGAGTAAATACAATATGTTGGGGTTTTTTTTTTTTAAGTTTTTAATCTTGAAATTTTTGCACATAGGTTAAACAAATCAGTTCTTTTATGGAATGGGAGAAGTTTCTTTTAGATTCTGTAATATTAAAATAGATAAATTTGAAAGGAGTTTAAAAGATCAGTTGTGAAGAAACTTAGTATTTCTGCCAGTTCTGAATTACAAGCAGCATTTTTACGGTAGTCTGCTTATGCATTTTTTCACTGTTGCTGTAAAATGAAGTTGTAACATAAGCTGTAGGACTAGAGACAGCAGTTGTATTCCAAAATTGCCTGTTTTATCAATTTATACTGTCTTGTTTATTGCATCTTTCTCTTTCTTAAATACAATAAACGTTTTGCCTGTATGTATCAATGCCTGCCTTTTAATACAAAGATGTGTTCTTCTTTTCTTTTGCTACTTGACTTAATAGTTTAAGGATTGTATAGCTTTTGCCGTGAGTTTTTTGGGAACTAAAAATAATGGATGTGATTTTCTTTATCACAAAGCTGTTAATTTTAACTTGAACTTAAAATGCCTAATAAATCCTTTTCCCCTCTCTATTTATCTGTAATAATTCTGACCCTAGACAACTTCATCATCTCCAAATACCAGCCTCACTTCTGATGGCAGCCCATCCCTGGCAGGAGGAATTAAGCGAAAAGCTGAAGACAGTGACAGTGAACCTGAGCCAGAGGATAATATCAGGTGAAGCCATTTTTTGTAGCACTTTGTTAGCAAATTGCTGAAATAGATGCAGTCTAATTAATGCCATTTAGCTTAGAGCAGCAGTGCCTTCAGATGCTTTTCTATGATCTTTTTATCCACCGGTAATTAATGTGGAGGCTTAGAATATTCAGTAAATTCCAGTGAGATGTGTAAGCTATAGCTGTTAAATCTAAGTATCTAGATTAGTATGCGTGCAGGTTTTCATCCTCCAAGCCACTACTCCCTTTGAGACCAAGCACTAGATTGGCTAGACATTCACTGTTCAGCTTTGATTATGTGAGCTGAATGCCGCTGTTCTGCAGTTGAATTTTTGAGCTATTTAACCCATAACATTCAGTTACATTCACGTGTGCGGCATTATTTATCTTGACTATCACAATATGTTTTCCTCTGTCTTTGATTTGTAGCAGGCCCTGTTTTGTCTATGATGAGTTCTTTAAATGTCTTAGGACGGCTGATCACTAGATGATTAATTAGGAATTTTATAAGAATTAACTGACAGTGAATTACCAGTGAGTCTGCATTTATCAAAGGTTTAAATCAAGCTATCGCCCTTTAAGTTGAGGGTGAAGGCCCTTATAATTTTTTGTATAAGGTTCTGCCCCGATAAATGCAACCGGTAGGTTTTTGTTTTCTGTAGAGTCAGGCGAGGTAGGTGGACATGGGAAAACAATAAGGGTTACTTCGTTGTGAAATACTGATCACTTGTGTCCAGCACCATTGTTGTGACATTTGTGACATCTAGCCCATCAGGTCGTCCAATATCAGATATTCTAGCTCTCATTCTTAATTTCTTTCCTGTATGTGCAGATCTGAATGGATTGATTTTTATTTTTTTTCTTAATCAAGCAGGTAGAATTCTTATCTAAAATCAGGATAAATTTTAATGTAGCTTTCCATTTTGCATTTTAGCAGAGGTTCTAAAAGAAGCTTTAACAGTTTTATAGCAACTAGTGTGAATGAACCATGGTGATTTATGAGTAGCAATAGTTTTGACAGGGTTGGTATTGTCAAGCAAAAGGATATGCTACATTCGTCTGCAGTTATTTAAGCTCTTTTGTAGCTCTGAATATTTATTCAGATCCTTTTCTGAGCGGAAAATAATTTTATGCTTCTCGTAAGTAAAAACAAATGCATAAATGTACTAGATGCAACAAAGGTGTTTGCAAAAATATATTTTGTATTTAGAGTGACTTTAAACCTAGAACAAATAGTTCTAGTCAGCTAGCAGATTGGTTTTTGTTATCTTACAGAAAAGGTTTTTGAAATTTATGCAAGTGTCTAGCTGCCAGGGAGCTCCTAGGGTCAGATGCTCATAGACTGCAGATGTTCTTGACTGTCCTTCAAGACTTTGGCACACGTAGCTCTATCCTTGCTCACCTGGCTTTCTTAAAAAGTCTTAAAAACATCTCTTGGTTTCTCCACCTCCTCATCAGTTTGAATCATCTTTGAACTAGCTCAGGTCAGATTTTAAAAAGTATCCCTGTACTGGGCAACCAACTTGAAACAGAAGCAAGGGAAGATTCTTTTTGCAAAACCAAAAGGATATGCATCCTGTAAAAAGGCATAAATTGATCTTTGCTGTGTCTTAAAGGCTTCATACACTATATTTATCGCTCTATGAGATTCTGACGAGTGTAAGTTTGAATTGACCTCGCAGATTACTTGTGTGCTTCAGATTCCGTATGTAATTTAAAGTGGTCACAGCCTTTGTGGAAAGGGATCTTGCGTGATGATTTTCAGATGTGACAATGCCAAGTTTTGAATTGTTGAGAATAAAATTCTATTTAAAAAAAAAAAAATCCTTAATAATGATTTATCTGATTTAACCAGTTTCTAAATCAGATTTATAATTTGCTTTACTCTAGTTCGCTTGAATACCAAAATTCATGTCAACTTTGAGATGTGTGTGCAAAATGCGTGCACTATGGTGAATAATAGGTTTAAATTTTAAAAAAAATTACCCCCAAACCCCCCAAACAACAAAACAAACCAAAACACCCCAAAAAGGGAAGCCAGTTCTGAAGCATGATAACATAACCAAATGTTAGGTAGAGCTTAATCTTTCTATTACTTAAACTACCTTTTTAGATGGCAGTCTCTAAATTGAACTGGAATTTCCCCCAAGATTACATCATGTCTGTTAGGACTAACAACTTGAAGTTTTATGTGCATATTAACAGCTCCTTGCTTGTGGCACAACTGTTCTCTCAAAACTGACACATCACCTATTGAATGACGGGGAACCAGCAGATGTAGTGGTGAGGGGATAAAATGTCCAAGGAAGAAAAGCTGTGGAGTCCGTAGGCAGTGACTCCTGTGTCTGCCTGTGCCCGTCACAGCTGCATTCCCCCTGCCTCCTCCGTTTTCGGAGGAGCCTATGGTCTGTGTTTACTGTGAATCTTCACAGAATATTCTTGCTTGAAACGTGGCACAATGTAGCACGCTATCCGCTTTTTTCCTAACCTTATACATCAGAACTGAGGGATTCAGATGCTTGTCTGTCAAAGATGAGCAAGTGGTTGTTTTCCCCTGACCCATCCATAGACAGACATAAGGGGGAGCTGTGTGAAGTAAGGATAAACGGTGCCTGAGATTGCTCTTTTGACTCCAGTATCCATCTCTGTCATGAAAGACTGAAAATCCCTGTGTAAAAGGGAACTCATCTGATGTGAGTCAGCAAGCATGGGATTCCTGAGTTGCAGATAATTCTGCTGGTAACCATAGCTTGTCTGAACAGCAATAGAATATAGAAATCAAGCTGCTGCTGCTTATTATTTATTTGCTTACTTTTTATTTTGAGTAGCAGAGAAACTATATAACTTTCCTGCTTGGGAGGGGTATTAAGAATAGAGGGATGAACTTGATGTGAGAAGGTATTCCAGTAAGATAAAGATTTTTTGGACCATAGCTTGTCTGAACAGCAATAGAATATAGAAATCAAGCTGCTGCTGCTTATTATTATTTATTTGCATACTTTTTATTTTGAGTAGCAGAGAAACTATATAACTTTCCTGCTTGGGAGGGGTATTAAGAATAGAGGGATGAACTTGATGTGAGAAGGTATTCCAGTAAGATAAAGATTTTTTGGCCTAGGGTAGATTAAACAAAGTAAGGAAGGGGGAGAGTTTGTTCTCTTTCTAATGGTTGGAAGAGTTAAAGAACAAAGTTCAAATGGCAGTTTTGGTAGTAGATTCCTGATAGGAAAGATGAAATTGCCAACAAGGAACAATACTGTTTTGAAAAGTCCTGACAGCAGCAAGCGCAGGTTTGAAAATCTACCCTGCTTCGAACAAGTGCTTTGAAGACTTGTTTGTCAGGATGGTAGCTTCAGAATTTCATCTGGATTTTCTATGATGCCAACCATCAAATTTTATTCTCTTGCTGTTGAGTATCGTTTTTTATGCTTTCATTTAAATTGTATAAAAATGGGAACTGAAGTAGCAAGTGACTTTGGCTTATATTTTAATTCAGATATGTAAGTGTGCATATATTAACGTGTATTGACATCTGTTTGTGTTTGTTATGCAGGTTATGGGAAACTGGTTGGAAACAGCGCTACTATAAAAACAAATTTGATGTTGACGCATCTGATGAGAAATTCCGTCGTAAAGTTGTACAGTCCTATGTGGAAGGGCTTTGCTGGGTTCTCAGATATTATTATCAGGTACTTATAAATTTCTTCTCTGAAACTTCAGTTTTCTTTTGTGTCTGCACCCTATTTCTTTTCAGGAAATAATAATTATCCATTGCTCATTTTTGAAAAGCAGTGCTTTTTTTTTAACGATATAAAATAAGTGGGTGCCCGTTCTATTTGACACTCAAGATTTGAATGCAGTTTTTGTTTCTCACATACAGTAACGGCGCTTGTTAGTTTATTAAGGACTGATGCATATTTTTCCTTTGCAATACATAGCCATGCATAGTGAAACTGCAGATGACTAAATGAGTGAACAAAGGACAAAGCCTGTGAAATGCTAGTAAGAATTTGAAAGGAACAGAGTTGTCAGTCTCCTCCATAGATTGTAATGATGTTCTATGAAGTGTATTGTGATTGAAGTAATCTGTATCTGATTTAAATCTTTTGATAATTGAGATGTCAGATTGGCAAGAGATTAGTTAGACATATTGGGGTTTGTTGCACCGATGGTTAATAACTAGCTTCGTGCCCTGAAGACAAAGTAAGCTATATTTTGTGTGTGACCTGGGAACAGAATGTGCTTGAGCCGATGAAGTTTATCTGTCTCAGCAGGGCTTTGTAGCTTGAACGCAGTGCCATGTTGATAAAACCGCACATTTTTCATAGGTGGCTCACACCTGTCCAACTTGGCACAGGCAGGGCAAATACCTTGCATGCCTGCAAAAAACTATGCAGTCTTAAAGTTAGTTTATTTTAACGTGTACTCCTTCCCCCCCCCCCAGCTTGGAACAAAAAGGGAGTGTGTTCCCTTCCCTTCTACTGTATTAACTGGTTGAGTTTGGGCTCAAACTTGCATATTATGGTGGATGAAAATCATAGAGCTTAAGGTTTGCACATCTGTTGCAGTTGATCTGCAGGAGAGCTGAGCTCTCCACATCCTTGAGTAGCTCCTTTTGCAAAGGACGAATGTCACCTGGACACCTTTATAGGTGGAAATTCCCATGATCCTGCGGAAGTTTAAGGTCTGCTGAAAGCAAACCATGTTCCTGTTAACCGTGGCAAGATATATTCCTAGAACTCTATATGTGCCCATATGTCTCCAAAGTGTGTAAACGAATCCTCAGATTAGCTGTAGATGTCTACTTGCTGGAAAACTGTCAGTGTGACCTTCAGTAGTACAAAACCACTGCAAAAGGCAGTCTGGATTTTAAGGGAAACTGATGGGCTTAGAGGAAAGGAGTATATGGCAAAACTGAGATAATATTTACGAGTGACCAAAATATTTATACTCATTTGAAGATTGTAAAATTAAGTTTGTTTTATTCAAAGAAGTGTGCACGGGGTGTGTGTTCACTGCTTTGTGATCGGTGGCCGTGGCCTTGTGCAGACATCATCGTGTGCTTTTATAACTCTGTTCAAACCAGGGTTGCATTTGCATGTTGAGAGATTTGTGGCTTTAAATGTATAGGAGCTGGAAGACCGGCATATACCAAACTTAAAACAGTATGGGCAAGTCCCTATGCAACACTCACCAGTTTAGCTTGTAAAACCAATTTAGTTACTGAGGTGTATGTAGGTGACTCCTTGTCCTTCTGAGTTTGTAGACGTTCTGGCTGAAGTGACTGATGCATACAGAAGTGATAGATGATTACAGTTGCAAAGAAAACAAATCGGTGAGGTTGACAACAACTTCAGGCAGGACCATAGTGCTCTCAAGAAAATTGAGAAGGAATGCCAGTAAGACCTCAAGGAGAAGTGACTGTGCGGAAAATATTTTCTGGTTTAGAAATGTTCCAAAGGAAAACTTGATGAAAGTACACAAATGTTCAGGGCTTTGTTTTTGCCGTTTTGCTTCATATTCAGATTACTCTAAAAGAAGGCAACTCTCCCTCTATCTAGACCTTATAAAAATTACATTGCAGACTTAAAATAGTGGAGCACTGAAATACTTGCACGTGCTGCTGTTCGTACTTGCATAACAGAACTATGTGTAGGCAAGGTACTGTAATCTGCTATACATGGGCAGTGTGTTGTGATTTGACTGCTGCTCCACACCAATGCTTTCTGCCCATGTGGAAGTTAGATTACGAAGCTGTTGGACTGGGGGAATTTCAAAATAGGTTTGCTTGAGGGTTTTTGTTTGTTTTCTTTTTACCATAATAAGGATTGCTTCCAATAACTACTGCTCATTGTCCATAAAACTTCTGACAGAATATATTATGTGCTTTTCTACTCTTATAAAAAGCTGGTAACGCAGAGCATATTCCACTAGTGGGAACATCTGTTTGGAGAGAAAAAAAAAAAAAGAAATTAAAGAAACCAATCTACCTGGCTTTTGAAACATACTGAAACCATCTGAAGAATTGCATCTAATAATTATAGTCTCTGTAATTTTATACCAAAAATGTCGCTGGAGGAGCCTCATTGACATTTACTTACTCAGATTTGGAAGTCAAAATAATAGTATGCTTTTGTTTCAAGAAAGAAAGAAAAATAGCTGAGGAGGTGAAAACTTGACTTAGACCTTTTAGAGCCACGTTTCCTCTACAAAGTGCATTGTGTTCTGATGTGTTTGAGTTTACTTTATTTTCTCCCTTTTGAGGATTATTTTGCCTCTTTCAGGTGAATGCATTTTATATTTCCCAATATTCGAGACAGAAGAATTAGGGGGGGGGGGAAGCAAAATGTTACTCAAAGTGTGTGTTAGTGCTTATACTGAACAGAAAAGTAACAGTTAAAACCAGAATACTTTTCAACCTGCAACAAACATTGTTCACATTTTCACACCTTGTAGAGTGTATCATATCAGAGTTCACTGTCCCCCAGATGCCCAAGTTAGCAGTGGGATTTTGCATTGAAAAACAGTAGTGCAAACTGTGTGCTGCCATAAAAATACTACTTCTGTTCCTATTGAGACCTCTGTAATGGCTTTCTGACTGGCACGATTCTGCCGTTTATACAATTACGGAGAACTTGGAAATTCCTCCTCTGTGTCACGTGCGTGTATTTCCCTGTTCGAGATGTGGTAGCAACTCTACACAAGTTGAAAATGTGTCCAGTTGTTACAGGCTCCTCAGCTTAGCCCCAGGGACTGGTTAACTGTATGGATAGACTGATTTCCTACTCTTTGCAAGAAATGTTTGTGCTTGGTTTTATTGGACGTTGTGCACATGCTCGTGTGTTTTTTCTCGAGGGGGAGGAAAAAGGCATGAGGTACGTTACAGTGTCCTGAAGCTAAGGTTAAGATTCTGCTGTAAGGTCTTTTGTGTCGTTATGGTGCTAGGTCCTGTCTCTTTGGCTGTCTCCCTTAGTGACTCAAACCTAGCACATAGCAAGAGTACTTTGGCATAGAAGTCTATCTGCTGTTCTGTGCTGCTGAGGAAATGCCCGAGGTCTCCATTCACTGTCCAGTGAACTCACTCGCTCTAGTCTGGCTATGAAAAGTTAAGTCCCACCCTGAAGTCCAGAGTACCTTTAGAGGCAAGAGCTCTTTCTTTTCTAATCATGGGGACTCCTCTTTCTCCCGGTTGATGCTGGGCTAAATTTTGTCATCTTTAGTGACCGGGCTACATGATTTTTATTTTTTTTTCTTTTACTTTTCTGATTTGTCTGATCTTGTTTCTCTTGTTTCTTTATCCTAGGGCTGTGCATCCTGGAACTGGTATTACCCTTTTCACTATGCTCCGTTTGCTTCTGACTTTGAGGGTATTGCAGACATGCCTTCAGATTTTGAGAAAGGCTCAAAACCGGTAGGGCATCTTCATCTATTTATTTATGATTTAACAGCTCATTAGAAGTGTCCTACATCTGCTTGTTTAATTTCAACAGTTTAAGCCTCTTGAACAACTTATGGGAGTATTTCCAGCTGCAAGTGGAAATTTTCTGCCACCGACGTGGAGGAAGCTCATGACAGATCCGGTAAGAATCCTTGTTTCATTCCTCTCTGTAAGGTTATGTCATCTTGCAATTGTGTGAGCACGACTTGCTGCTTCTTACTTCAGGCAGAAAAATAGTGGGCACCAGGAGGGAACATTTTTGGTAGATTGCAGAGATTCTTCGAAGATGCTTAAAAGTGATTCTTTGAATTCAGATATTCTAATGAGATAAATAATTTCCTGACTCTTTTACACTTTAGTAAGATTGTTTACTTTCTTACAGAAACATTGTAAAACTTAACTGTTAGTAAGATTGTTTACTTTCTTACAGAAACATTGTAAAACTTAATTGGGGAGCTGATACCTTAACCCAGTTATCTGGAATTATTCTATCCTGCTTAATTTCTTGTTTTGATACTCTAGTAAAGTGGAAGTGCCCTACCACACTTCGTGTTTAAATGGCATTTAATAAAAGATGTTTCTATTAGTCAAAGTTCTTTGCATCCTTCTTAGCTTTGTGTTTGCTCGCCCTCCGCGAAGTACAGTACTACATAGCATTCTGAATGAACTTCGTAATTGGCTTTAATGATTTTTTAAAAATTTTCTCAATTACAGGAATCAAGCATAATTGACTTCTACCCTGAAGATTTCGCTATTGATTTAAATGGGAAGAAATACGCTTGGCAAGGTGAAATTTCAACTGGTTTTTTTTTTTTTGAGCTATAGTATACTGACCTTAGTCTTAATAATCTATGTAAAAATAGGAAGAAAATGGAAAATTATCTTAGTGAGATAATGACGCACCAAGTCACACAGGTAACTTGTGTTACTTGGTGTGGGGGAGAAGTATTTTGCAGCAGGTATATTTTTGAAAAGAAATTTGTATGAAGAACAAATTATGGTTCAGTAACTGATTTAGGATTGGCAATGATTAGTAGTAATTTCAGCAGTCATTCTAGATTTGTTAATTTGTCCTGAACTAGATTAATCACTTTTCTATTTTTATCAACCTTGCTGTGTAATTGTCTTTTGTCTCCTTTGCATTTAATTAATGGATCTTGTTCTGTTCAATCAGTGGCTCATTAGTACCTTGTGAAAAATGCTTTGGGGAATATAGAAATATTTGGATGCATACAAAGAATGAACAAACAGATACAGTATTTAATGCAGCTTCTTCTTTCTCTAGAGAATATTAATTTTAAAGGTCTGCCAAATTTTGTATCTGGTATTCAGCCAAGAGTGTAACATCTCAATTATAGGTATAAATAATTATTTGGGCACAAAATGAAACACATGAAATTCCATCTGAGCATAAGAAAGCACATTTTTACTGTGAGGGTGGTCAGGCACTGGAACACGTTGCCCAGAGAGGTTGTGGAGTCTCTGTCCTTGGAGATACTCCAAACCCAGCTGGACATGGTCCTGGGCAACCTGCTCGGGGCGACCTGAGCAGCCCATGACCATGCTGGAGCAGAGGGGGACACTAGGTGATCTCCAGAGATTCCTGCGGGCATCAACGATTCTGTGATTCTTCCCCCACGTCAGCTCATCCATGTTTTGAAATAGCCAGTTAGACACACAAGTACGTTACTCGGGACAGTGTTCCAATTTCAAAGAGAATATTCCTAGGTATTATGAGACGTGTTGCGTAGCAGGTTTTCCCTCTGTAACTTGAAGCCCTTTCTTACCCCTAGTGTAATTCTGGCAACTTCCCTTAGTCCTTTTGTCCAGTTATAAAATCTACAGTCTAAAGCGGTAATGTTTTAAGAAGCTCCCACATGCTTTCAATAGCCTGTAACGTTACTTTTGATTCGTTTAATGCTTAATTGCATTATAAGCTCTTTGTTTTGGAATAACATCTGGAATTCTCATGCTTAAAATGCAGTTGTGAAACAAGAAATATTTTTCCAAGCTGGAAGTACAGACTATCTCTGTTAAAAAGCATCTAGTATGCCTTATCCTCTTAATGAAATGTTTGAAGAGTTTTCCTTTTAGAGATGTGATTATGTTTCTGAAAGCTCAGCATTGATCCTTTTTGCAGTCTCCTGGGTTATGAACATTTCCTGTTTTGTTGTCATTCCACCATTCCAGTGTGTTGTGAAGGTGAAAATAAATTGTTTGTTTTCCAGGGTAGGCTTATCGCTGTTTCCCTTCACAAGTAGTTATGTTCCAGCTGAAATTTGAACATGGCTGGGGTCTGGTGCTGTCCTTGATAAAGCAGTAGTCAGTCTGCGTGAAGATTATCCTCATGCTTCATAAGCAGGGACAGTGCAGATTTCTTGTTTGGTGAGGTTGGCAACAGCAGGCTGTACAGCTCTGCTCCTCATTATTTTACAGTAGGCTAAATAATAGTCTGATTCAGTTAAACTTCTGACATATTTAACATTTTATTTGTGGCTTGTTCCAAACTGGTTTTGTTAGGAGAAAGTATGAGCTTCTGGTGTAATTACACTTCAGGTAAATTTTTAGGTTGTCCCCTTTCCTTCAGCTCCAGGACAATAGTATTTGTTTTAATAAAGCCATGTAAAGATCTAACTTCTGAAGCAAAAGTGTTTCAGGCAGATCAAGTTTTAGATCAGGAATCTAAGTCTGTGGAAGTCCAAAGTCTCTGTGAACGTTGTACCTTAGAGTGATGACAAATGTGTCTGAGATCTGCCTGCCAGTAGACCTGGTACAGGCACAAATAGGAAACTATGAATATCGGTTTAGTAGAAAGCCTTTGCTGTCATCTTTGTCAGAAAAAGCTCTAGTGTTCATGGTAAAGGAAATAAAATAAAAACTAAAATAATAACTCCAGATTCCAACTGATAATAAGGGTGACAGAAGTAAATCTTCGAATTTTCATGGTAAATTTCTTAGTGCTTTTTCAGATTTTATAATAGAAGAAAACATATACTGGAGCATACCAGGGAAGGCTATTCTCCAGCTTCATATCACTCAATATGATTAAGAGTGGGCTGTGAGACATGCTGCTTAGTGAGGGATTTTGATCCTGAGAGGAGCCTCCGTGTTATCTCGGAGTAAAATTAATAGCTGGTATGAATAGTCCCTGATGGATAATATCTGTATCACCTCATCGCTGAACTTGGGGTGATTTCTTCCATTGTTGTCTCTTCATAAATTAATTTGAATGAAGTAGCATTGAGCTCTGTCAGGGGAGTATCTGTAGCAAATGAGACAAATAATGACTGTCTTACTGAGCTCATGTTGTCCCTAAATGAGGCAGGTGTGGGTAGCGGTTACTGCTTCCCAGTGCCTACCCAGGACTGGGGAGGAGGAGGATGGAGGGGTGCATGGAGATGAGCTTACCTTTTCAACCTGCACTGCTGCTGAACTATTTCTCTCTAAACAGCCTGCAGGGTCACAGCCTCTGAAAATGTAGGGTTTTCTTTTCTGTGACTGATGCAACAGTTGCTTCTCGGGTAAAGGATCTATTGGAGCTTTGGAGCTTTCCATCCTGGTGTCTGGGGTTTTTGTTTGGTTTTGTGTTTTTTTTTTTCCAACAAGAGTGAAAAAATAATGTTTTGGTTTTACTAGGTGTTGCGTTATTGCCGTTCGTTGATGAGCGACGCCTTAGAGCTGCCCTGGAAGAAGTCTACCCTGACCTCACTCCTGAAGAAAGTAAGAATTGTGATATTTTGTTGCGATTGTGATGTATTCGCTATGACTTGTTGTATACTGTGTTTCACCCTAAATGAGCAAGGTATAATAGATGTTTTCTTGGATTGAATTACGGCAGGCTGTAGCCTCTTCTCCATGGATGGTGCTGGTAATTAGAATGATCCTCGATGGGTTTGTTTTTGTAGCTTTCACTTACTTTTATTTTACTGAAGTAGACCTGCATAAGACTTAACCTGAAAATTAGATGGCAGCTTAATCATATGAAAAGCTTCTACCAGTATACACTGTCAAAGTACTTGTTAGATGAATATGTTGCAATCAAAAGACTAAACTCTGTTTCCAAGGTTAGAGTTGATGGTAAAACTTGATAGGTGTATTGGCTGTTCTCTGACCAGTAGGCTGGCTGTGCCCAGTTACGGTATGTGAAACTTCATGTTCAGCTTATATAGGCAAATGTACGTGTTACTTTCTTCATTGTACAAAAATAATAGCTGGTTCTTGTAGGTAAAGCTGTGGGGGAGGTATAGGGTTTTTTCAGCCTATCTGTGTCTTCAGCATTACTCTGTTCTAAATTCGAGATTCCTCCCATTGAGCACAAGATTCCCGTTGTTTTGCTGTCTGCCACTACCCTCGTGACCAGAGGCATCCTGTTCTGGGCAGAGACACTGTCTTTCCAACACTCTCAAGAAATGTTCAAAGCTTCCTGCTAAATCACAATGAAGCGTTCCTTCTGTGGAGACGTGGACAGGGTGGTGTGTTGGTCTGCTGTATTCCTTCCTTCCCTCTTTGCTCTGAACTCATCCTGTTCCCTTCGTCTTTTCTAGGCAGAAGAAATAGCCTTGGTGGTGATGTTCTCTTTGTTGGAAAACACCATCCTCTCTGTGACTTTATTGTGGAACAGTACAAGACCAAAAATACAGAGGTAGGTTGTACTTGTTCTTAAGGGATTGTGTAAATGGTTCAGGTCCAATAAAGTGCTTCAGCTGAAAAATTATTTTTTCCATAGCCAGTGGATATACCCCCAGAGCTGTGCCATGGAATCCAGGGAAAGCTTACATTGAATGAAAATGCTGTTCTTCCAGATCAGTGAGTATGGCTTTTGGTGTGGGTTGTTTGATGCTAAAGGACGTTTCCTTCAGTTATGTCTGCATTTAAATAAAAATCTCTTTGTGCCCACAATGAGAAACCTAAAACTCCTGACAAGGCAATGCATTTAGTTCTGGGGCTAAACATGCTTTCCGCTAGGTTTCATAGTAGGTGTGTATTATCATCAGTATATGTAAAAAACCAAGCAAGTAAAACTTTCATTCTACGATCTTTTTTTTTCCAGAATTAGGCTTTTAAAGCAGCATGAGAAATCTTTAAAATGCTCTGTGTGTTTAATTGCTGATGAATCTTTTTATTTGTTTGTCGTTTCATCTATGGAAGACTGATTTTTATGTATTTAGTAATGTTTGAACTTTAATAGGTAAACAGGGCCTATATAATAAAAGTAGTTGTGATCACTGGCCTTATTCAGTAAGATCATGTTGTTTTGGCCTCTTTGCTTTTGTATGAATGTTAATTTAATGCAGTCTGATGTAACTTCCAATAGTGCATGCTGTTTAAAAAAAAACAAAACAAAACAACTTTGCTTTCTATATGCTAATCTTAATTGCATTAAAGAAAAATCCAGATAGAGATATATTTTTGCTATTTTCCATTTAGGCTATAGCACTAAATTCAGGACTGTTACCAGCTACATGTACAAAAAATGCTAATATCTTTTGTTTTCTAGATAATGCATTTAGTTTGAGAAATTATCAGTGTAATCTTCGCATTGTAGGATATGCATTCATTTATCTAACTTTGCTTAGAGGCATAAGCAGGTGTTCAGTAACTCATTTGCATTAAATGCACAAGGACTCCGATTTTGTTGGACAGATAATGTATCCTAGGTCACACTCGCTAATATACATTTCTCTATTCTTGTCATGGCTTGTGAAGAATATGAGCAACTCAGAGCTGTTCTTGGAGGGAATAGCAATGCAGGAAAAAGAAAACTCTTCTGGCATTGTCTTCCCTAGATAGGACGTGAGAAATGGATATTTTTTTTTTTAACCTAGAGAAGTAGTTTGCTAGGAATTCTGTGAAGATGAGCAGGCATTTATATTGCCACTTCAAAATAAGTCTTACTTTGCTAAAAAGATTTGGATCAAATTCAGCCAGCATGTGTACAGTTTGTGACCTCTGTGTCACATGGGTCTGTGACAGTTGTGCGCAGTAGGGTGAACGGAGGAATCTGGTTTCTGATTGATAAGAGTAATTTTCTCAAGCGTGGTGTTTGTCTGCTTGAATTGGAGGGTTAAAGTTTTCTGGAGGAAAGAAGGAAAGGGTTAAGACGCAACTGCATGTCAGCCTATTAAATCTCAGTTAGAAAGGAGACTCTTTAAGTGCTGTGTAAAACAGCTGCTAAATTTTATTTATTTTTTACTTCAAAGCCTTTTTCTTTTTCTTCCTAGTGAAGCAGGTTTGCGTCTTCATGGTGTCTGCATGTGTGTCTGTCTCTCTGGTCTTCTCCTGCCCTCTTAGAACCTGTTGGCTTGTTATAGTCAAACCCTAGCAGTACGGGGAGGCTCCCGAGGTGCAGAATAGTACTAAGGTTTGTAAACAGGCCGCTGGGTAGTGGGAAGCGTGTGAACCCACTGTTAGACACTAGAGAATCCACACAGATCAGCTGCAAAAGTAATGACATTCAGAAATAAGGATTCAGTAATTCCATTGCTTATAGAAGTATTTGATTTAGGGGGAAGGCAAGTTAATTTTGAAATCACTTTTATGTGTCGCAGGCTTAGTTGACAGAGGAACGGCAGTGGTATCAACAGAGAAAGTGGAGCAAATGTTGAGAAATATGTTACATGACGTTTTGACAGAGGTTTTTCTCTTTACCAGGACGGTGGAGTCTCCTGTTCCAATGCTGCGTGATCTTGCACAAAATTCTGCAGTCAGGTAAGTAAACTCTGGGGTTTAATGCAATGGCATACAAAACACAGCAATCAAAACTCAGTTTATTCTGGTGTTTTGTGTTGTTGAATTTGCAACAGAATCCATCTCTTAATAAAATTGAAGCTTTTACTTTAAACGTTTCTGGTTTTCTGTGAGAATTGAATCCAAGATACTATGTTGTAACACAGCGGGCTTGGGTTAGGGTGGTTAAGCAGAGTGTGTAGTGGCGTGCCTTGCAGAGATGTCCGAAATGGTCGTTTCTCAGTGCACCAAACCCAGTGTGTTTCATCCCTTCAGAAATACCTCATCTTTCCTGCCATTGCTTTTCTGCTTGCTCTCTGTTGGGACTTCTGGGTCTTTGGCAAGAAAAGAGCAACACCTACAGAACTTGATAGTCTGTATCAAGCCTTTTAAATTAAAGAAAACCAAACGTTCATGAGAGCAGCCTCCAAGACAGAATTGGGTATTGATTGAAAGCCCTCCAGCTTTTGATTTTTGCCTCTTGGATTTTTATCCAATTTTATTACTAGCAATTCCCAGAGGATGCCTGAGAATATAAGCTTCATGTCTTTAAGAAATAAAGGAGTAATACTAACTTTGCCTGAATGTGATGTTTGGGAGAATAAAAAGAAACTTCATAATGAATAAAAAACAATGCAGGGTTTCCAAGAGTAAATCTTGTGGCCACGGAAGATTTTAATTACTCTTGCACTTTACAGCAAATTTTGGTAGATCTGGTGTGTTGTATGTCATTCTCACTTAATTTGGCACAGTATAATAGGTATGTAATGCTTGAGCCTATAACCTTTCACTTCTTGAGCCACATAAGATACTTGAGACACTGAAAATCACTTGTGATCTGTCTGCATAATTTTTTCATCCAAGGAGGCATAACTTGGTTCAACTAGAACAACTATCTATAGGCAGTAAGAAATGCTAAGTTGTGGCTTGTCAGGATATTGTAGAAAGGATGTTCTGAAATGGGGATTTGGTTACTTTGAGTGATGAGTTAAAGGTAGTTTTTGGCTTTCCATCTGCCACTGTCAGGAGGTTTGAATTGTTTTACGCTTCTGTCCATTTCTCTATTGCAAGGATTTTTCTTCCTGTCTTTTGAGATAGTATGAGCAGTCATGATTCTGCTCTTCAGTCCTTGTGGCTTTGGCTGAATTTTCCAGGGGACTATTATTCTTTTTCCTTCGAGTCTCATTCATTCTCTGTGCTGAAAAACAGATGTATTTCAGCTGGAAGAGTGAGATTATTCTGCTTAGCTGTTTGCTTTTATCTTTCTTGGCATCCCAAGCATTCTTCTATATCAAATGGTAGGTAGTGAGAGGACAGGAAGCAGGTTGGTACTGTGTACTTCAAACATATTCCCCGGTGGGACCTACCTGACACCTGGATACTTACACCAGGAGATTGGAATTGCTAGGAGTGTGGATGAGTTTTCCTAGAGCAAACCCAAACTGCTATATAATGCATTGTACCAGCAGAAATTATGCTTTCAGGCACTTCTTCTCTATTGCTATTTAGTTTGTCTAATACTAGACAGCTCAAAATGCGGGGTCTGCGAGATGTCGCTGAAAATAGGTGTGTATCCCTCCACGGGAACTGCATGCAACTGCAAAGCCGCCTTTCAGCATAAAAACTCCCTGGCCGAGGAAACCCCACTTCTAAGTTTTGTACACTTTTGACTAGACTGCATAGCAAGCTGGTATCCTTCCTGTCTATGCTGTGGCAGCCTTTGAACTTAATGAAGTACAATCAGTGCTTCGACTAGAGGATTTGTACTCAAGGGTCTGCAGAAGATACTTTCATTACCGTACATAGGACTAACTGCTTTCTAGACATTAAACTTTCTTTTGGACTGGCTATTGATACAGGGGAGGAAAAAGGTCACCCTGTGGAAATAATTGAGACATCCAAGTCCAATATAGTCAGTATATCCATGTGCAAGAAATGCACTTTGCAGTTTAAGTCGTGGGTTCTTGAATCTTATCTTTTCTGTTGTGTACATCACTGTTAATAAAGCAGCAATTACTTTTTAATCTTGCTTGTCTTAATTATCAAGTAAACCTAATCCTCAAATACTTTCTCCTAGTATCTCTTTCAAAGATCCACAATTTGATGAGGACTTTGTTTTCAAGGCTATAGTGTTACCTGGTGCAAAGTAAGTATCAGTTGTCAGTTTTCAAATAATTACATGTTCTTTCATTGTTCTGAGTATTTGCTCTGATAAGTGTTTATGGAACTATTTTTAATATTAAGGAAACCTGCTCCAGTTCTGAAGCCAGGAGACTGGGAAAAAACCAACAACGATGGCAGGCCTTGGAGACCGCAGCTTAGTTTTAACCGAGACAGAAAACCAGTCCATTTGGACCAGTCAGCGTTTAGAACTTTAGGGTAAGACTGGCGGCATTGTTACTGACTGCCTTGCTGAGATGGCTATACTTGTTTATTGCTTTTTTAATTAAAAAAAAAGGGGTGGGGGTGGACTGTCAGGAGATTAGGTGCTGGTGTTCCATGATGGAAACTTTGGCATGTGATATTTAAATTCAGTATTGATGATGATAATTTTGCAGTAATGCCTTGCATTCTTCTTGATTTGGGGGGAGATTCTACTAAATATTTCTAACTAGCTTTCCCACTGTTTTTTTTTTTCAACTTGTTGGGTGGTTACTTGCTTGAATTACAGAAGGTACAGTAAGAATATTGCACACAAGTGATAATTAAGACTATTATGAAGACCAGAATGTCTTTTATGCTTTTAAAAATGAAGAAGTTTTAAAAACCCTTGTATGAAGCACGTGTTACACCATACAATCTGTTTCATTGTCACTTTTCAAGGCATTGCCACAGTCAGTTTTTATTAGTTCTTCAAAAGTCCAAGTAACTTTCTCAGGTGCTGCATACGAGAATGCTTCCGAGCACAGGGTGAAAGAATGAGCTGGGGTTATGTATTACAGATAAAATGAAATGTTTTTCCTTACTGGGGAGGGCAAGGAGACATATGTTTATCAGAGCCAGAAAAGAGAATGTTTTAAAGGAGATTGTATTACTAGCAAATAAAAGTAAACTCTGTGAGCAACTGAACACGAGTGTCTCTTTAGGAAGAGAAAATACTTTCTTCTTCATCTTATGGCTCTGGAGGAGCTGGAAGAAGAAAAAGTAACACCCTTCCCTCCATTCGTATGTTGGAAAGCATAATTCCAGTGCTATGCTTGTGAACTATCTTCTGTTCTTCCATGTCATAGTTATTAAAAAAAAAAAGTATAGCTGCATTATTGATCACACATGATGTCTCATTAAATTGCTGTCCAGGGTGGCAGACACCACAAGCATCAAAGTCTTAATGCGAATGTAGTTCTGCACAGGAAAAACAGCAAAGGCCTGGCAAACATTGACACATCGATATTTGCAGATCCCACATCTCTCTCATCGGGAAATGTGACAGCAGTTCAGTTTTACTGAACTCTTACACAGTTTGCAGGAAATACATGTTTTTCTGCTTATTGTGGCTTGCTATAGAAACTTCAGAATTTTTGCTGGGACCAGCTCACAAAGCGTGTGCTTTGTGCGTGGTGTGCCTGGGACCCTGATCTGTAAGCGAGTCACCGCGTTGTGCTTGTGCACACCTCCACTGACGCACTGGGGAGAGCTGGGGTGTTTGATGGGCTGGGTAGCAGCTGTGCTGTAACGTGGCATTCATAAAAACATCCTATTCTTTTTCCTTTCCATTTCTTACACATAACAGCCATACGATGCCAAGGGAAAGAGGGATGCCAGGAATGTATGCCAATGCAGTACCCCTTGGAACTTATGGGAGCCCGTACACCAGGCCGCTTCTGACTGGGCAGCAGCAGATTCCTAAATTGTTGTCAAGTAAGTGGGTTCTGCTTTCTACATTTCAGAGTTTGAAAAATATTACGGTTTCATTTTGGTCTGTTGCACTATTAAAAATAAAAAGTGGATTCAGGCATCCGTCTTCATTAACCTTGTGTCTCTCTTCTCTATTGCTCTTCCTTTATGGAATTGCTGCAGTGAAATGTACTAAAATGTAATTATGTGCCTGTAAGTGGGATCCCATCTTGAATACTGCATCCAGTATTCAAATGCAATAGGAAAAATAGCACTTTGTCTACTAAGGGTTCCTAGTGTCTGTTATCTGGAACATATTCAGTGTGTGGCTGAATCTCAACATCACCAGCATCAGCAGACTTAGTAGAAGCTTGGTGCTTTGTGTCTGAAGAGAACAACAAGAGGAGGATGCCGGCCACAGAAAATAATTAATGCACAAGGCATGGTGGCAGATCAGGAGAGATTGTAGGACTGACAGAAGAGCCTGTGGTTCGTGCTGAGATGCCAGACTGAAGCAAAATTGCTAATTCACAGTCCTGTATTGGCTTCTCCTGCCTGCGGTAGGTGTTGCAACTTCTGGCAAAGAGGTGGTAGGAGATGGTCAGTAGGTCAGGGATGCCGCTGCTGTTGGCTTGGTGAACAAGTGGGTCACTGGAAGGGGTGAGATAAATCCTGTGTGACCTGAAGTGGAGTTCTTCATCCTGGGAAGGAAGTGCTTGTGCGAAGGGCTCCCAAAAAGGGTGCTAGTTAAGAGTCCTGTCTCTTCGCCTGTGATCACGAGCTGCATTTCTGTAATGGTGGGATTGAGACGGGGGAAACATGGCTAAACTGCCTAATAAGGTGCTTTAAAGTAAGAAGTTCTCACTGTTCAGCTGGATTCTTGCAATATTGAATTATGCAAGTGTTTGAAGTTTAAACAGCTGACACAGATAAAGTTTGAACTCCAACATTTTGTCACATATAGAAGACCAGATTACTGCATAGTGAAGCTGTCAGCCTTTTTATACTTTACTTGCATTTTTGCCGCATATGAAACAGCGAATAAATAATATCGATGGCCATTCTGAATTAAACTTAATGTCCAACCCCAAAAGTGTAGTTGAGTAGTGGGTGCAGAAGCTTTCTTGTGTGAGGAATCAGATTGGTTTAAGTGGAGAGACGGATTGAATATCAGAGCCTGGAGCTATTAACTTTGATTAGAGGAAAACAAGTGTTTGGTTGTTTTGTTTGTTTTTTTTTTTTTTTTTAACAAACAGGAAATATGATCTAAAAAGAAGAGTGTGGGGAATGGGAAGGCAGAACTACCAGACAGGCATCACATTTTTGTATTAATCTCCAAAAAGAGAGTCTGCATGGTTTTGGGGAGAGAGAAAGTATTCGTGAGCCCATCAGTCCCTATACCGCTGTTCAAGTCTTCTGAAGCTCGAGTCTTGGCGCTTTGTGGGAAATACTTATTTCAAAGCAGTTTTCTCTGCCTTACGTACATGGAGCTGATCTTGCCAATTAGGTACTTAGAAAGCTCTCGTGCTCATGGCATCTGAGCACCTTGTGTTGTATAGGAAGCACTCCACATGCAAATATGCCCCAATGCCATCATTCTTTCAAATTGAGGAGGCTTGAATCCACTGATCGATATGAAATCCCAGTCCATCTGTTGGCCTCAGAAAAACTGTCTGGTGGCTTTCTTTCACACATCCCTTCCTCCCCTCATTGCCTGCCCCTTCCTCACCCTCAAATTGCCTCGGGCATCCCCAGTTGCTGTTCTGCAGGTGTGCCTGGCAAATCTGAAAGCAAGGTGCTCTTTTTTTTCTTTTTCTTTCTCTTGTTGTGCCACTTTCCTTAATGTTGGTTTTTCCATTAGGCAAAGGTTGATCTCGTGCTTTCCTGTTCGTCCAGCAGAAAGAGGTGCCAGGTCAACCTGCTGGTCCTGGTCCCTCCAGCCGCCGTTGTGGCGTGCTGCTTCGTGCGCTGCTGGCAGTCATCGTACAAAGGCTTTTTCACAAAGCAGGGGTTGTGTGCCTGCTGTTGCTCTCCAGGGCTCTTCATCCCAGAGTCGAGAAGCTGGTTCCTGGCACTCTCTGTTTTCATGGGACACCGCAGTGCAACATGCTGCGAATGTATTCTTTGTCAGTTAATTTTGTTGTGTTTCTCCTCCTCTTCTACTAACGATACCAAGCTGTCCTAGGAGATTAGTCTTAAACTCTAATTAACTTGTGATTTAAACTGACTGCAATGTGAAGTCTTTACAACTAACTACAGTGGCGGTTGACTTAATCAATGCCAAGTGGCCGTCTGTGTCTTAACTCCTCTTTTACCAGGCAGAGACCCTGGTAAAAGGGTTAAACCCTTGCTTAAACCCTTGTTAGAAGAATACCTCCAAGTGTCGTAGCCCCAAATTTCTGCTGAAATCAGTCTTTGTGACATTCATGCTGAAGGATGCTTTTGCAAATGGGACCACATCCGGACACTGTAACACATCCTGGATTATGGATTGTGCGGCTTGAGTGTGAAGCAAACCTGTCAAGATGGGAGTGTGTCAGCAACTCTCTGAACCCCACTGCAGTTGGTGGTGGTCACCTTATTGAACAGGAACAGTCTGCATGGACAGTGCGTTTGCTCCAATGGAAGTTTGTGGTCAGAATTGAGCACCTGGGCCAATTTCACCCAGACAGCGTTCTGTCGAGGAGTACCAAAAGGTGTTCCTGGATCTGGCAGCACAGCTATCTTCTTGCCTTTTGCAGTTACCCCCTTCAGTTCAAGCACAAATGTCTCTGTCAAAGCACAGATATCTTGGACTAGAAAATCAAATTAGAAGGAATGGGAAGGCATATGCTGAGTTTTCTTAATGGGGGTGGGTTATCACTTGTGTCAAAGTCACGTTCATCAGCTGTATAATTGCAAGAGAACAGCTGTATGTTGTGGCATAATTGGATTGGGAAGCATCCGGAACACACACGTTCCTGAAAAACTAGAGCTGATGTGGTTAAAATTCCCACGTTTTGTGAGATTGATGCAGAGCAACTTTTCGGTTTATGTATTATGTTTTTATATGTATGATGAAGTAAAATTAGACTCTAGAAGGGCAATGCGGTCGACCAAAGTGCCATCTCTTCCTCAAGAACCTGCTGTGGGTGTTCCTTAGTGTTGTTCTCTGATTTGACTTTGATGTGCCAATTTTCAGTTGATGAATAATTGTCTGTGCTGATAACTTGGGGAGTCAAGTGCAGTATGGCAGTACTCTCTGAATGGCATATTTGGTTTCTGCAGCACAGGGTATCTGATTTATGACTTTCATTTCAGTCAGTAAACTTGTCAATTAGCTGCATTTGAAAAGTGATTTTGATTAGCGCAATCAGTAAACACAAAATCTCGTCTTTGATTGCCACACTGATTAGATAAATTGTTACTTGAGGAGCTGCTAGAGAAGGCAGTTTATTTGGCCTTATAGCTCTAGGAAATGCCTAAGTTTTGAAGACTGAAGAAAATATTGTCATTTCTTCTCCGATTTCGTACCTTTTTGAAGTGCAATTCACTGCTTCAAGCTTTTTCCCTCAAAGATTGTTCTCTGTCGGAGCCATTCAAATGAATAGTAATAAGGTGGCTTTAAACATTTTTACGATGATTTTATTAAACTCTTTCTTAAACTGTTCCCTACAGCTGCAAAAAGGTGTGGTTACAGCAGGAGAGCTGGGTCCTTTCTTTTTCAGATGGAGAGAGAGTGATTAAATAGGACACATGTTTTTAACTAGCCCTTAAGCAGGGGTCTGTATGAATGGGAAACACTGTACCAGGGCGAGACCAGCATCATCTCCCTGGGTTTCTCACTAGGGCACCATTTGACCCTGGCAGTGGAATGGAAAACGTGTTAATAAACTTCAATTAAAATGTGACGTTCTGACCAGGGAGGGAGAGACTGTCTTAGTCTGTATAATTGTCCGGATACTTGGGGGTCTTGCCTAGCTCAGCCTGCACAGAGGAGAAGGGTGGGGGAAACATGGCCGTTATTCTTCCTGGAATATAGGATTTTTTTCTGGAAGTTTGTGTCTCCCAGCAAGCAAAAGGAGAACTGAGCCAGGCCTAGGACACCTGCAGGTCTAAATAAATAAAATACAGCGTGTACCCCTCTGCAGCTCAGGCCGTTGCTGGGCTGGGTGGGCTGGATTAGCTCTGCCCAGAGGAGGCCCAGGCGGGAACAGCGGAGCTGCTGGGGATCAGAATTTATCTCCCCTGATGAAACGGTGTTATCTTCAATGGGGCTGCCTGCACCCTCCCCTGCGCGCTCGAGTGCTGCCGTGAAAGGTTTCTGTCCGGGTCAGACCATTACAGCCTGCAGACAATCCAGCCAGACTTAGGAGAGAGGCACAGATTTTTTTTTTTTTTCCCCTCTAGGTTTTTTTTTCCCCCCTTTTCTTTCAAATTATTGCAAATTGCAAAGCTTTAGCGTTATTGGCAGTTTAACAGGGCGTTACTGTCCCATCGCAGTACGCAGTATGTTAGGAGAGAGGCACAGATTTTATTTTTTTTTTTTCCCCTCTAGGTTGTTTTTTTTCCCCCCTTTTCTTTCAAATTATTGCAAAGCTTTAGCGTACTTGAATATTGGCAGTTTAACAGGGCGTTACTGTCCCATCGCAGTACATCCATTAGACAACTTCTGGAACCAGCTGTTGAAATTAGGTCACACTTAAACACCATTGAAAATAATCAAAGGTGTCACTGAAACTGAAGCTTTTGATTGATGCACAATTCGAGTGTTGTGGACTGACTGGGGAGCTATTGATTAGCTGCTTCTTTTATCCTGTTTACTGACCAGTTTATTTAGAAGAACAACAACTGTTTAATTGCATGGCCTGTTAAAGCAATGTTGTTACTGCTACGTCTTTGTAAAGAGTTAGTTTGGGTAGAAGAAACAATTGAGAAGTGGGTGGTCTTTTTCACTGCAGTTTCTTATAACTGCAGTGCTAGGTCTCTGGCCAGGTTTTTACCCGAAAAGGTTTAATTCAGTCACATTATCGGAGAGATCATTAAGAGATTTTTTTTATTATATTATAGATTATTATATTGTCTAGGTTAACTTCTAAATATATTTTTACAATCTTTAAATATATGCTAAATATAACTATATATATATTTAAACGTGAATAAAGTGGAACTGTTCACTTTATTACGTGCTCTTGGCCGTTCTTTTAGTTTGCTTTATAGAATAACTTAGCCTAATCAGAGGGATACTTACACATATTTTGAGTATTCAATACTTGTTGCTCACAGACATGGTGTGTTATGATGATGACACAGCGGTGTGTGTGTATATGTATCTATTTTTTCATATAGTGTAGTGATGAATGTACTTGTAAGAAATGTAAACATTAAATGAAGTCTTCAGTCGTTATGGTAACAGACATGGTTTTGCATTTTTAAAAATTCAAGAGAAGATACCTGTGAGGTGTCCAAGCACTAACCAATGCTAGTTCTAGCAATTAAAATTTATTCTTCTTATAACTTGAAGCTTATTGGACCTAATAAAAAAAAAAAAGTTGCCTTTTATTAGTTAATACTAAGCTTGCCACCGATGGACATAAGGGCTCTATCAAAATCAGCAATAGTAACCACAGCGACTTGGTGAAATGTATTTGGTAGTACATCCAGTTTGAGCTTTTCTGTTTGACTTCTTAAAACAAGTAGTTCTCAGGCATGTGGAAGAGCACAGTTCTTTAAGTATACTTGCTCTTTTTTTATTTTAATGTTTTGTTTTACCCTCTAGATCTTAGACCCCAGGAGTCTTGGCGAGGTCCTACACCCTTGTTTCAACAGACGCCACAAAGGTAAGGCAGGAGGGATTGAAGTTTTGTAAAATGTGGCCGGGAGGGTGTACTTGGTTCTGCCAGGCTTCCCAACTTTTTTTTCCCCTCTTTGTTTTGGACTTTGTTGTTTAAATTTGTTGAAATCATGCTGTACAGCAGGGTTTTTTTAAGTTAATTAATGTCCATGATTTATTTATATTTTGTGAGCGCACGATGTGGTGTTCATCCTTTAAAAGGCTTTGAGTACTTTGTATTTTTAAAAAAAGGCAAAACCACTTTCCATTAAAACACAGACTTCAAAATTAACTTTACTGTTGGTGCTTTGGTACCGTTCTTGGTTCTTTGGCCTTTATCTTATTGAAGCTTTTGAGATACTATGAAATTGAACACAGAGAGCTTAAAACTGCATTAGATTTTGGACAGGCTAAACAAATTTCTTTTTAGGAGGGCTGTGGAGCTTAATGAGGCATAACTAATGGTGTTCCACTTTTATCATTTCTGTGCCGCAACCGCAGCATTAGTACAGACTAGCCATTGATTCTTGCTACAAACCTCTTGAAGTCCTAATCAGCTTCTTTGGTACAAGTTTTTCAGGCCTGACAAGCCTATTGTAGGGCAGTGTCACTGTAGGTCAGTAGTTATTAGTTGCCACTGAAAACAGTTTCTTTAACTACTTAAGACTGAACTGAATTAAATGCAGAAGGGACTCAGGGAAGGATTATGGAATCTGCAGCCCAATAAGTGCCATCGAATAGAAGGAATGTGACATGGTTTGATAATAAGGGATGTTTTACATGCGTTCCTTCATTGATAGGTTGTATGTCCTTAAGTCAGATGGACTTTATAAACTCCAGCATACCTGTGAAAGCTATGAATAATGATATTTATTTATATTTATGGAAGAATGAGAGCGTATGCGAGATCTTTTTGAAGTTTCTGCTCTGAGGCACAACTCTTTCTTTTTTCATGGTTTTATTTGCAAATGTTAACCATTGAAAATATCAGCTTTGGGAGAATTTATTGAGCTCTCCGCAATCACGCTTTCCATGGCAACCATTTTGATCCCTATTGAAATAAGTCCAGCTCCCTTGTCCTGTGCCACATCAATGTGGAATATTGCATTATAAATGAATCTTGCGTTACAAACTTTAATATTACTTTGTCCCTGGGACAAAGCTATTCCCAAACCTTAATTAAATCCAATTTACATAGTACCATTTTGTGAAATATTGCTACAGGTCTGTAACTTGTCATTATTTTTACAATGCTATACTTTTATCATTTTACCAGGCTGTTTATTTTTGCAAAGTGGACTAGTTTCTCAATTCACGTATAAATAACTTCTTTCAGCCAGAAGTTGTTTGTTTCTCACTTTAAATACACATTTTTATTACAAATTGTGATAATCAACTGTCTCTAATCAGAATCCTATCATAAGGTTACTGTGCTTGGTTTGTGCTAATATTTTTAGAAGTGACCGCACACTGCCCAAGTGCTTCAAAGCATTTTTGCAGATAGATGGTGTCTGTGATTCGATCTGCTAACCTGTCCAGCGTGCTTCTAGTGTTGCGTTATCGACCTCGCTATTCAGTTCCCAAACTTGAGGAAACTGGTGTCGCCTGAGGTGACTTTAAGTTGAAGATGTATCATCTTCACCTAGAAAATAGGCTTTAGAGAAGCTTGGAGAATGCTGTTCTAGCTTTCGAGTGACAACAGTATATTTACAATGCTTTCCCTCCCCGATGGTGCTTTGTTATACCTCTGATGGCTTATGAAAATCACTAATTTGCCAGTTTCAGTGCTGAGGATAAGTAGCTTTGCCACGTTCTTGGAAGCCGTTTGATTTGGGAAACAAATCGAACCGATGCTTAGGGCTGATGTTGAGCTAGTTGCCATACAGAGATAAGCACGGAGACCTAAGCAAAAGTTTAAACAGAAACATAGATAGGCTTAGTGCAAGAAAAAATGGCTGAACCTGTTGAACTGAACACCACCGCCGCCTCCCCCAAGAGGTTTTCAGTTTCCCAGTTAATTCCCTGGGAGCTGCCAGTTTCCCATACCGCTACCCCCAAGGCTGTCCCCGCTTGCTGCTGCGGCTTCAGGTGCTCCAGGAGCAACAAGGTGCCGCCGGGGAGAGCAGCGAGGAATTTCTGTTCTCCGTCACCTCTGCTCCCAGGGAGAAAGTAATTGAGGGAGAGGCCAGCCCCGGCTCCAGCCTTTTCAAATGAAGTGGGTTGGCAGGAGGCTACGATATCCTTGATTTGCGACATCAAGCAAGGGATAAGCAAGGAGCCCTGTCCCTGCCAGGAAAGCTTTGAGCCTTTTGTGCTATTTCAGGGATAGAGTATTGCAGCGGGGGCGAAACTAGCTTGGTTCACAGGCCTGGGTGGAAAAAGCCCAATAGCGTAAAGCTGCTTCTTCATAACCCAGATGATCTTGTCTCCTGCATAAGATCTATTTCTTTTAAATTTAGCGATGCAATTCAGTGTGCAGCAAGTAAAATAAAATCGGTGAGTTGCCGTTGAACAGGACACCTTTCAGCATGTCCTGTTCGGGCCCTGGTCCGACTGGGCTGTGTTACTGGAGATTTCATGCTCTTGCCTTCAGTGCTGGTGATCTGATATGTTTCAGAGGTGTTATATATATTTGCTACCTGGTTTCCTGGCTGATATAAATTTGTAATCCAGTTAAGCAAATCCTTTTGCTTAACCTGCTCACAGAAGAGATTTCCAAAGAGGCTGAGGTTGGAACACAGAAATGTTTTACTTTATAAAGTTTCCTGAAGTTGTATTTTAGCTATCCTGTATGTATATGCTTTAGTTTAATCATAAGTTGACATAACTCTGGATAGTACATTTGAGTAACTCTGCCAATGTGAACTCATGTGATATTCCAAGTGGCACAATTCTTTTTTGTTACCCGCGAGGCACAGCTTTGCTCTGTACAAATCTCCACCCTAGGTAATTTGAATCACCAGTTAATACTTCCACTAGACGAACATGAAGTCAAGTGCTGTGAGGACTATAATTTCTTGATTTCTGTTTACCAGATGAAAATCTAAAATTTTGGTTTTTAAAAATAGTACATAGTTCTGTGAATCAAGAGCAACAAAAAGGTGTAAGCTGCTTTTCTGGCTTTAAGATCAGAAAATGCATTGCAGCTTTTTTTTTTTCTTTTCCTGCTAGGTTTATCCTCTAGAATATGTAGTGGTTCTAACTGAAAATCACTAATTTCACTCTTTCAGATGGCCTCAAAGTAAAAATGCCCCAACATAGTAGTGATATTAGTGTGTTTTGTTTGTTAAATATCCCAACTTTTCACTAAGCAGCACTTTTTATTAAAATAAAAAGTTTAAACTCTGTGCCAAATGCATATTAATATCAAATGAAATTTGTCTCAAACTTTCCCGGTCCAGGCACGTAGCAAGTGTTGGCCTGTGGTCATCAGTCGCTGAGGGTATTTATCACCAGCACATTAGCAGAATTGTAGAGACAGAGTGACTGTTGATGGAAGCCCTAGAGCTGGGGCTATATAGGTAATTCCCTGTAGGTTTCCTTAAGGCTGATCAGTGTATTCTTCCTGGAGAGTCTGCTGTTTTCCAGGAATAGGGGGGGGGGAGTTAGTACTCAAAATACTTAATCAAAAGGAATATCATACTTAGAATATTGATTTTGAGTGTTTAGTCCCTGAAACTGTAATGTGCTATTGACATGAAATACAGTACTGCTCCTCCTAATGAATGATTTGGATAACATTGTGCATTTCTAGACATACCTCTGAAGCTTAAAAATAAAGCCACACAGTTCAGTATCACCACTTAGCTTTTGTGCATGTTCATTTTTAGTACATGTATTGCACATTGTATTTACCAGTTGCATATTTATCAGGTAAGACTCATACTTTTATAAACAGGAATCGAGTTATTTCATTTGTAGAGATGGTAGGATTTTCTTTGGCCTTTCTAAAATTCAGGCAGGTCTTAATCTGACCAGGTAGAGCAGCTGTCTTGCAGGCTTTAGTGTGAAACCAAAAGCAATTTGCATCCAAAACCAGAAAGCCTTCAGGTCCAAAACGACGGTTTTCATTCATCTTAATCTTATGTTTACCTGTCTCGATTGCAACTTTGCCTCTGTTCCTGCTGGTGGAACGTGTGTTTAAAAGTCCTTCCTCTCCCAGCATCGCTTCCTCAGTTGCTCAAAGCTCAGTTTGCCCAACACCGTACAGCTGGCTGTGAATCCTCCCTTGGTCACGAAAGTCATACCTCCTCCCTGAACTCCACATGTGTTTGAAAGAATATATCGGCCTCTGGGTAGGGTTACTCCTCCAAGGCTGAAGTCCCGCCAATTTAATCCAGCAAATCTAGGCAGAGGCTCTCTGAAGACATACAAAGTGACTCAGTTCAGCGGTGCAGCAGGTAAATGTGAAACGCAGTGCTCATGCTCGCTGCTATTCCTGTCTCTCGGCAGGCTGGCCGACTGACTCGCTCTTAAACGGGGGTCAGAAAAGATTAACTGTCTCGACTATCCATTGTTTTTCCTTTACAACGATATATTGTACTGCAAAACTTAACTGCTATGAATTCTGTAAGGAATTGTACCCTTACACGTGCTCAGCTTTAAAGACTATATCATGGCTATATCATTTTTCTAAATATTTTTAATCAAACAGTGATTTGATGTATTATACCTGTTGCTTTATAATTGTAATGTTAGAATAGGTACTTGAAGGCAATTAAAACATTTCTTGCTGTTAGTAATCTAGGATGGCAAACTAGGTTATAATGGATGTTGAATTTGCGTTCCCATATAAACTGTACACCAAATGTCAGTCAGTCCATGCCAATTAGTGCTTATGTTGCTAGGTCACCATGGTCAATTGAAAACGGCATCAATAGAACTTGAAAAGGTTTCTTCCCGATCAGACCTTCTGACATATTGAGCAGAATAATGGATGGGAAAAAGCAGCCAAGGCCCCTACCCTAGATTCAGAATACTCGCAGTAAGAATTCATTTGCAACCTGCAATTAACTAGAAAGAATGGACTCCCAGAAAGAGTCTGGACATTTAGAAAAGAAAGCCTCATTCTCCTGTATCGCACATGTTTACTCTTTGGATGGTGTGTTACGTTTAGCTAACTTGGTGATATCTGGGTTTTAATCTACGTTCAAGATCAGTGCGGATGAATTGGCAAATTTGCCCCTAAAATAAAAGGTGGACAGAATCCTTCCAAGGAATTTGAAAAATCTCTGATTTGTAAAATTGAATTTGCTGCTTGTGGTAGTACCAGAAAGCTCGGGAGGTGTGTGTGTGTATATATATAAAAATACTACAGAAAGTTCTGTAGCTTTCAAGCTGTGATGAAGGAAGCAGTAAGCAAATGTGGCCTTTTGGTAGGAGAATCTTGGAAGATGTTGCCCCCTCCCCAGTTTCTCTCTAATGATTTGGCCATCTGCAGTACCGCTGCAGGCATAGCTGGATGTGACAGTGTTTAACTCTGCGACAAATCGAATCACTTATCATACGAGACTATAGAAACTTGGATTTAGTGGTGTGAAACTCTCTCTAGGAGTGAAGTTCATGCTGCAGTGCGTTTCTTCTTTACACAGAACTGCTGGGGCTGCTCCTCTTCTTGCCTGGAACCGCATGCTGCAATCCCAAAATCAGTACCAGCCAAGTCAGTACCAGGGGCTGGGCGGACCAATGAGTTACCCACAGAGACCTGAAGATCGGATGGACAGGGGAAGGCAGGTATGAAAACGCTGCCCCATTTTGCGCGTTTTGGTCTCCTCCTGAGTGAGGCTTCCTTCGTGTGTGGCTGTGGAGAGTGAATGCAGCATAGGTAGGCATTCCTGAGCCGGTTTTAGCCCGGTAACCGTGTCACCAGTGAAAGCACTGACAGGTAAGCTTCCCAGCCTTGTCCAGCCCCTCCGTGCGCACCCCTGGCACAGGGCCCACGCCATGACTGTGCCGCCGCCGCTTTTCATTAAAAGTAGATCAAACATGCTACCCAGTCACACGCTTCTTGCAGCCTGAGAAAACATAATCTGAAGGCAAGTATTTCAAACAGTGTCTTCCTCTTCTGTAAGGAAATCTATCAGCTACACGTTTTGGAGATAGAAGGGTTTCTCCCCAGTATGTTTAAAATGTAGATTCTTAAGACTTCATTACTTTTTCCCCTTGAATGTTTATTGGCTTTCTCTTAGCTGAAAAACTACTTAAATGCAAATGTTAGATTCTAGTAGCCAGAGAAATAAACATGTCTGAAAGTACACGTGAAAATAGCTTTGTGTGGTTAAATAAAAACAAGTGAATGTGATAGGAGAACCTCATCCAAAATTATAGGTGACTTTGTCATCAGTTTATGAAAATGCCACAGAATGAAAATGCTTCTTGAAAACAGCAGGTGATTTTTGCTTATGTGATTTTTTTTGTGTGTGTGTTCCCAGTAAAAACATAATCTGCATATACTCTTGTACTAGAAATTTGAGTATTTACAATGCTATATACTAGTTTAAAACAAATTTCAGATATCTCTATTAAAGTTTAAGTTCCGTTGCTGTTTTGGTAAGTCAGAACTATTACTCAGCTGTGGGAAGGTTACTGACCAGTAATGGGGAAAGAGGAGGAAGAGCACTCAGCTGCTTGGTAACAGCACTGTTTCCCAATCCTTTACATGGAAACTAAGGCACAAACTGTTTGAAATTTGCCTTCTGTTGGGACCTGGTTCAGCTACCTCTCACAAGCGTGCTCAAGACAAGTCACTTTTTAGTGTACGCTCTTAGTTTTTCTTTTCTTCTTCCCAGCCTGCCCATCTCCCTAGTACGCAAGCATTTGTGTTACACGGTACAGCACAAACACAGTCAAATTTGGTGTTTGATTTCTGGGACTGTTTCTCCATGTTATTGGCAGCATATAGCCATTTTCACGTAGGTATAAACTCTGTCCTGCAGTGTGTGTATTGGATAATATCCCAGTCTCTTTTGCTTATACAGCAGGGACTGCAAGTACAATCTATTTAAATTGTAATGTCATAGAGCCTATGTGAAAGCCGTCTTACAGCATTTTTACCACTTCTCTGATTCTTTATCTGCTTTATGTTTTTCTTTTCTGTTCTGGTTGGGAGACTCGGGTAGCGCTATCTATCACGACCGCTTTTGCACCATGTCGTCGTTATGGTGTGGGGGTTTTGAGGCAGCTAATACAATAAAAACATGTACTGTCAAACCAAGTTTCTAAGAGAAGAGCCTTTGGCCTTTGCTGGGGAAGCTTTTTGCAGAGTGCCGTGTGCTTCTCTGTCTGGTTCAGCTTGTCAGGACCGAAGCCCAGCAGAAACAGCCTGTGAGCTGCTAATACTGTTCTCAGCATTGTCTGCCGACGGCAGGATTACATGGTGCTGCTGAAAAGATCTATAGCCAGCAAGCAGCCTGCCCCAGCCCTCCCAACTCTTAAACTCTTGTTCGACTGAACCCTTGTTAGCAGCAGTGAGACTCCCTTCTCCCCCCACCCCCCCCCCCCCCCCCCCCCCCCCCCACCCCCCCGCGTCTGCGCGGACTGGTGTTGCAGCAAGAAATGGGGGAAAAAGAGAGGCAAGTATGCCACCGTGTACTCTTGCTCCAAGTATAGTGGGGAGGCATTACCAGTACAAATCCTTCCAGGGCTGGTTTTGGCTATAAGCAAAATTAGACAGCCTGGGTTATGATCGCATTAGGCTTAATGGGGAAACAGTGGGGCTTGAATCCTGGCTGTGCTGCCCAACTAGTCCCCAATGGTTGGTTGTTTTTTTTAAGTATGTTTCAAATTTGGATGAGGTGTATCGATAGGATCAGTTTTCAAAAATCTTTCATTTTGTGTTACACAGGTTTACCCAAAACACTGGAGACAAAGGAATAAATGCATAATTGCACTAATCCATAACAGGGGCCGCTGTAATAACGTAGAAAAATCAGTGGAGGATTTTGATGCTGGTGGAGTCTGGGTGGTATTTAACTAGGGCTGGAAAATCGATACTTGAAAAAAGTCTGTCTGCTACACCATACTCTGCTCTACCCTTTATCCTGGGTAACGTAGGTGGATATATTTGCAAAAGGAATCAGTGCTTAAACTAGTTCATTCGCGACCTTAAATCTTCATGCGTAACAGCTACAGCTGGAATCACAAAGGTGAACAGGAACTGTCTTCCAGAAATGGTTGCAGCGTGGGCTCAGGGAGGGCGTCCCCTGTTAGTTCACAGTCGGAAAGGTGTCTCATAACTCTGGGGTCTCAGAGCATCGTGGACATCTACAGCCTGGCGGTGACAGAAAACCTCTGCCCTCCCAGCTCTCCAGCTGTTTGCCACCTGAATGATTAAATAGGAGGCGTACTGCTGTTTGGTGATATTGCAGTCTTGCCCAAAACGTATTTCGCCTGTCTGCTGGATCATGAAACGAAGTTAAAACTGGGTGGTGACGACAGGTTTATTTGTATTCACATACGTGATCGTTATTAAGGACAAATCTTTCAGCTCAAGTAAACTTGCTTCCTTAAAAAATTTCCTTTGCAGTTGTGTTGCTTTCTAACTGTGTCTTATCTCCTTTTAAATTTTTGTTGCCTCTTTTCTTCTTTTTCTTTTTTTTTTTTTTTTTGGCCTTTTTTCGCCTTTTTTTTTTTTTCCCCCCACCGTTT